AATGGCCATGATGATAGCCACATGTCTTCTCTTTATGTCATAGTGGCTGTGATAATCACTGAGTTTGACTTTTAGGCTATAAAATTTTTTTTGACAGGTAATATTTTTCATCCAAAAATTTTAAATATTTTTTTTTCTCAAAAACGGTTAATGGTAGATATAGATTGTTTAACATCAGTATTCATAGAATTTTAATGAGAATTTAGGTATGTAATAAAAAATGGGGGCACCCATTTAAAATAAGAAAGTTGCTGTCAACTTCCAGTATTTCCGGAAGTGCCGCCATATTGAAAATATTTTTAATCGATAGATCTCGTTGTAAAACAATGATGTGCAAAAAATCTCCGATCTAGACAATGTGGTTCTCTAGAAACTTCTAATGCACGCTCAGTCTGGGACGCCCTGTATACATATTTTAAAGCTAAAAAAGTGTCATCAATATTCTTTTTGTATTTATGTGTCTAGTAAATCTACTTATTCATTATAAATATATCTTTTAAAAACGCCAATTTCTTGTACTATTACTAAAGAGTATCAAACAAATTAAAATATTTTATTATAGTGATATTCACAATTACTTTTGTAAATTCACAAAGCGTTAGTAAATATTAATAAATTTAATAAAACACGTCTATATTATAATATTTATTATAAAGGTTAATAAAAAGTCATAAAACAGAACTTTTATTTAAGATACTCTTTGTCATTTCTTCTTTGCTAGAAGAACCTTACTGGAATCCTGCTCCTAACCAAAATTGGAACAAAATTGCCATTATATACAAAATGAAAAAAAAAATGCAAGATAAAGGCATCTAATTAAAACAGTCAACTTAGAGACTATGGATGTATAGGGTTCTCTAAAACGGTCTTCTACTTACAGATATGTTGATATGGGCTTGGTGCATTCTCCGCCGGTGCTGCCACCATCGGAGAATATCGTAAACAATTGATATATACAAATACACAGGTTTAAATGGCGGGTATACAAAAAATTTATTACTTAATTATTCTAAAAGTGTTAGGAAGTATAAATTGTAAAAATTCTAAAAATGAAAATAAAAAGGTGAATGTTTTGATATCTGCAGAAGGTCTAAGTTGTATTATAATTCATTATTCCAGTTAAAACACTTTTTAGATTAGTTCAACTACGGTAGGGAGCATAGTTTTAATCACCGGTTTTGCTATTGGGGCATAATTGGGATATTTTGTCTCTAACGATTTTTTTTTAAAGTTACATAATTATAATTTTAGAGGATGTTCATAAAACATTTAATCTAGTTGATTAAAAAACGTATATCTTTATTGCAAATTATATTTTATCCTCTCAAAGTATATCGTGGTATGTTTATTTAATTTTTTGATTATGTAACGAGCACTTTGTTTACTCACTTGTTTCGTCGAACTGCCTGAATCTTGAATTTATTTTTTTTTTGATCAAATCGGAGTGAAAAAATATGAACCTATAAAATGTTGTTTTGGAAGAGTTGAATATCCGGGAAAGTTGAGTTATTGAATGTTATTGCACCTAACAATGCCTTAATTACGCTCTCCTTTATGCGTTAGCATTTTTTTGGCAATTTTATTAATATTTGAATTTGTCACAACCACAACACGATGCCTAGTTCGAATTCTTTTTCACTTATTTTTTTCCTTCCCGAAAAAGCGTTAAGCTACGTTTACATGATGCAAGTTTTGCTTGCGCAAATACTTGTTTGCGAGTACTTGTAACTGAGCATTTTAAAATTGTATGTTTACACTAGTCAAGTTATTGTGCAAGAACTATGAATACCACAGAAATTGTTAAATGTGGTGTAAATATTTTATTTCATACGTTAAGTGATGAATTGCGTACTTTGTTAAAAAAAATCAAAAAACAAGAGTATGGGTAAAACCATCGATAAATCTGAGGAAAAAAACTGTTTATTCCAAAACTCTTTCAGAGGCAGCATGTCATAATTTGATTTCTATACTGTACAGGGTGTCCCATTTTGGTTGAAATCATACGGTATCTCCGTTATTCGTGAAGATAGAAGGGTGCGGTTTGCACATACCTGTGCCACTTTTTTGTCAAATGGAAGATGCCGTAAACAAAATTTTCATTGCCCTCTTCGTTTCTGATCTACAGGGTCTTTTTGAAAATTTTGCAATTTGGAACACCCCCCGTATCTCTGTTATTGGTAAAGATATTGAGACGGTGAAAACTGTTTATTGTAGAACTTTTTACGTCAAATACAGTGGTGTAGTGCGTTATTCTATGAAAATAATATTTTTAAAAATATAAACTAAAGTTATGTTTTATTAAATAGAACACCCTGTATATTTATGAATTATATGATCTGGCTAGTTATACGCTTCTCAAAAATATATAACACTCGATATTTGTTTTCCTTATTTAAGGCAATATTTAAAAAAAAACATATTAAAAGATCATTTTTTTAGCAGGCCATGATTGATAATAAAAGAAACTAAGGAATTTTTAAGAGTAATACTGCTATCTGTCTCTTGTTTTATTTTGAGAGCCACTAATTAATTCTTTGTATATTAGGGAAACTTAAATCTCTACCGCTATTTGTAAATCTTGGAAGCTATCGTATGGGAACTTTTAAATATTCCTTTAGCTAATTTACGTGAAATATACTTTCAGCAAGATGGGGCTCCCCCTCACAACTTAACTTACAATGAAAATATTAGGTTGAAATCAAATTATTATTTCTCAAATCAATGAATTGGAACCAATGTACCCATATGATGGCCTCCCTGATTCTCGGATTTGTCTGTTCTCCATATCTGATTTTAGGAATTTTTGAAATATTAAATATATCGTGGCAACTAATACGATGTTGAATACCTGAAAAATGCTTCAATAATGCAAACTTTTAAATATTTGCAAACCCATCCCATTATAATAAATTCAGTTATCAAAAAGAGAAAAATATATTTAGAGGTTCAGTGGTATCAGTTCAAAAGTAAAATATATCAATTCCAAATAAAATTTTAATATGTGCATCTCTATTTTAGTAAATACCATTTTGATTTTGTTATTTATCACGGCCTACTAATAAGAAAATGATATATTTTAAATATTGCAGTAAATAGTGAAAATAAATAGAGAGTGATATATATATATTTGAGAAGCTCATATCAAAGCGGATCATATGATTTATAAATATACAGGGTGTTCCATTTGAAAAAACATAACTTTGGTTCATATTTTCAAAAATATTTTTTTCGTAGAAAAACAGACTACGCCACTGTATTCTACGTAAAAAGTTCTATAAGAGTCAGTTTTTCACCTTTTCAATATCATCCATAATAACGGAGATACGGGGGCGGTCCCAAATTGCAAAATTTTCGAAAAGATCCTGTAGCTCAGAAACGAAAAGGGTTGTAAAAATTTTGTTGACAGCATCTTCCATTTGACAAAAAAGTGGCACAGGTTTGTAAAAACCGCACCCTTCTATCTTCACGAGTAACGGAGATACCGTATGATTTCAACCAAAATGGGACACCCTGTACACTAAGGTGTACTACTCTTCTAACGATCTACAAACATTCGTGCTTTTCGTAAATTGTTCAAAACCTCATAATTTGGTCGTGAGACAACCTGCTTGGGGCCATTTTTTCGTGCAACTGCTACTGCAAGAACTTGACAACGTGTTTACATGTAAAATTTTTGCTCTGCAAGTACCTACTAGCGTGCAAGAAAAGTAGACCGTCGATCAACTTTACTTGCAAAGTAATTTTTCTTGTACAATCAGTTGAGCAATTACTTCAAACACAGTTGACATCAAGCAAGTACTTGCAATCAAGTTCTTGCGCAAGCAAAACTTGCATCGTGTAAACGTAGCTTTACATCACACAAACCTCGTACCTGAGTGTTTTATAGTGTCAATAACTGCACTAGCAAAAAACTAAAATACTTATCTAAATCTTATAACAAAACCACGATTTCAATATTATTTTAATGCTATTAACATGACTAAGGGCGGCGCGTGGCGTAAAGTACATAATGATAATTTCTGATTTCGGCCGTTGAAGCGTTACTACGGTCCGAATTTGTTGAAATCAACTGAAATGCACCAAGCCTATAGAAATCATAGAACAATTATGTTTACATAAAAGTCGCTAAAATTAAAATGCAAGTAATTATTACCTTCTAAGAAGGCTCCATATATAAACATAATTAAAATAATATACTTACCCCTAAATTATAAAAACACTGAAACTGAAAATCAACCGAAATCATATTAAAAATCACAATTTCTGACATCTGAACACCCAATATCCTCTCAAGACGATTCTATATCGTCGATTCTCAGCAGGCAGCAGGCACCGCTATTGGAAATACCTGAGCGCAAATTTATTCATTTACATGTAATTGAGACGGCTCGCCCTACTTCACAATAAAAAAGTTCATAGGTATCTCTCGCCTTTATCCATTTTGTGGCATTTTCACGTCTTTGACCCCTTTAGTTCTAAAATAGTATATTTTGTATAATTATTTCAATTACAATTAATTATTCAGTACAAGTTTTTTATAAGCATACATCTCTATAAAAAAATATTTAATACTATCCATTAGTATTTTTTGTATAAAAGTTAAAGATAAATGATAATCATATACAATAAAGTTATGTAATTAATTAGTAAATTACATAAAATTTAATTTCAAAACAAAAAATACAACAAATAAAATAATCCTATAAGCCTATAGGTTTTAAAAAAAAATGTACAAAAATTGGTAAGTTTTTTTAACATTCAGGTGCGGGCAGAGAAATCTGCTACAACCAATCTGTGGAATAAACTTTGATGAAAGTTTAAAGGAGCTTTTCGAAAAGAAGCTTGATGTAATTAAAGGGCATTTTAGAAAACTGCGCGAAAAGTTATGAAAATAATGGGCGGTCGAACAATAAGAGGTCCTTTGTTCTCTCTATAACTATATATTTGGAGAAAAGTTATTTAACTAGTTTTGGAAGTAACTAATTCGGATTTTGTTTCAGGCAAGGGAAAGTCGAAATTAAACAGCACCTCGACGAATATGGTCATCACATGCACGTTACGAAAAAGTAGGTGAAAATGTAGTATGTAAATTCTTATCTTGTATACCGAGTGCGTCTTAAAAGTGGCTCACCCCTTTTATGAATATTTATTTGAATAACATTTCAAATGAGATTTGGTATGTTAGTATATGACATAAATTAGAATTGATTGACGTATTCAATTGTTTTTGATTACTTCCTGTTACACCGGAAAAGATGACAAATTTTAATTGTTAAAAGGGAGTGTGCCTCACACTATTTTTTTACTTTATGCGATAGAAAATGAAACTCTGAATAGAATGACATATCATATGTCAACTTTTGACATTTTCGTTTAAAAGAAAATTATATTTCGAATTTCAATCTAGAGTGCCATTGATCATCTAATGTTTTTCGTGTCTTGTCCTGGCCGTTTAAGAGATGCCCAAATCCTATTTTTAATCATATCTCAACTTTTTCAAATGAAGGGTGGTTTCAAGGGTGGCTCGTTAGCACATTTGGAAAAAGCATTTTTTGCGAATAATTTGGTACCACACACTTGGTATTTTGAGTTAAATTGTTGTTATAAATCGCATATTACAATTTAAATTAAACCATATGCGTAAATGTCAAAAGTTGACCTATGATATGTCATTTTATTCAGAATGTTATTTTCTATCGAATAAAGTAAAGAATACCGAGGGTGCCATTTAAAAATCAAAAGTTGTAGTAATTTCCGGTGAAACAGGAAGTGACCAAAAACAATTGAATACGTCAATCAATCCTAATTTATGTCATATACTAACATATCAATCTTTTTTTATCTGAAAAAATAAAAAAGTTATAGGGCTGAGCCACTTGTGAGACGCACCCGGTATATGTATTGTTTGTTCAACTGCTTTGTAAAAGAGAATAAACTTTCTTGCAGCTTGGTACTTCCTGATGATGTTAGCACTAACGAAATATAGGGGCATTAATGAATAAATTAGTATCATTTAATAAGACAGACCGAAATAACCTTATATTCTTACATTTTATACTAATATCTAGAAACAATCTTAAAAAATGTAGATATAGATATAATTTTAACTGTTTTCGACCAATTGCTCAAGCAAGCCACTTTAATCTGATTATATCAAGAAATGCAAATACAATAATTATTAGTGGTTTGGTTTGTGATTATTCAACTTATTCAAATAATGTTAATTATAAAGTAATATCTAATATTTTAGAAGATCTTCATGTCCAACTGGAAGAAGATGAAAGAGAATCATTTGTACTCTCCCCAACGTCAAGCCAAGCTGGAGAAGTCGATCCAGACTCCTTTACGGCGGATGACAACAGGGAAACTTGGGGTTCCAACACTGATTTTCTTCTCTCTATCATAGGATTTGCTGTTGACCTGGCGAATATATGGAGGTTTCCCTATCTCTGTTACAAAAATGGTGGAGGTAAATGAAAATACATAATATATAAATCCCCAAAACATATTTTGTTTCAAAGACTCCTATACAGGTTCCGGCAATAATAGTACGTTGGGAATATGTAGCTCCTAAAATAACAAACTTGGGAATTTTGTTTAAGTGTAAACCTAAAGTATTTACGAGGATGTATTTCATAGAAATATTTTAACTTCTATAGGGTGGCTGAAAAAAGTGTGAGTGGATCGGGATAATTTTCTTAAATGGTATTTCGACGAATGGTACCATATTATTGCATTTTTAGCTTCCTTTCAGATTATCCTTAGATATGAGTAAATATTTTTCGATAGTTTCCAGAAATATTAATAAATAAATAAAAAATATATATTTTTCAGTCTTCATTAAAATATATTACAAATACAATAACAGTCCTGAAATCAAAACTATATTAGGTATTTAAATTTAGGTATCGCAATCTTAAATCATACAGGATGTTCAAAATTCTACGCTAAACTTTCTAAAATATAAAATAACTTTTCTTTGTTTTTTTTTGTTAAATGGAATGCCTTGTATATTATTTTTTTATTAGATGGACAATTAAAAAATGGACATTTTTTCTAATTAAAGTGTTTAATTTTTTTAATGGTTGCAGATACACGCAGTATTGTCTCATATGGCTCTTTCAACGGAAAAATACAAGAGAAAAATTATAGGGCGACTCTGATAAAAATTAATTGTGGAAAATGCCATATAAAATAATATAAAACCGCAAAAATTATCTAAACACAAAATAATAATATAATAAGAGTAATAATATACTGTGTGTTCCATTAAAAAAAACGAAGAAAAATTATTTTATATTTTAGAAAATTTGGCGAAAAACATCTTGTATGATTTACGATTACCATATTTATAGCAAAGTAAGTACAGACTATCTAAACTAAATACTTAATATTGTGTTGATTTCAGGACAGTTCTTGTATGTTTAATATATTTTTTAGGAAAGGCCGAAAAATATATATTTTTATTTATTAATATCTCTGAAACTATCGAAATATATGTACTCCTATCTTAGAAGTATGTAAAGCAATCTGAAAGGCAGGCAAATATGCAATATTATACAGGGTGTTCCATTTAAAAAATCATCCCGTACAACTCACACTTTTTCGAGCCATTTTATAGAAGTTAAGATATTTTTTCCTGAAATACATCCTCGTACATACTTTAAGTTTCCACTTAAACAAAAATCCCAAGTTTTTTATTCTATTTTTGTCCGATCTGTATGTTTAGCGTTTTATTTCATTGTAAACTTTTTTATTTCGGCGTCATACACTGAAATCCGTCATTCCCTGAAATACACATGGTACATCGTTTGACTGTGGATCTCTGGCATTCCCTGTAATAACGAAATTATTTCAGTGAGACACAGTTATTAATTGAGTCATTTTAGTAACCCTATTTGAAGGGTTTATCACTGAATGTATTTATTTTTATATTCTGTGCATTTTATATAGGAATAGACATGTCATGAAATTTAAACTTATTTTATAAGAAACTTAATATTAAAAAAAAACCTACATATATGCTTATTCTTTGCATTAAGTTCATCAGACCGAAGGGAACAGCCATTCTACGACCGGTTTCGGAGATTTTTCTCCATCGTAAGGCCGACTTTGCTGTAACCCTCGATTTTTTTTGTCCCTTTTTCCGCTACTCTAATTTTGCTTATTTATTATATATACCCTATCTAAGCCTTCTTATCTCCATCTACGGTAACGTGGATGAAGCAAGCATGTTTGTCCATTAGGCCGCTGGTTATAATTTTGGCGGTACGATCTGTGATTGTCACGGCTACCGCTAGATGGCGTAGAGCGTCTAGCACTCTTGCCATAGTAGTACTTATTGTACTCAAATGCTATTCTCTGCTTTTCGTTGGTCAGATCGAGGGTTACAGCAAAGTCGGCCTGACGATGGAGAAAAATCTCCGAAACCGGTCGTCGAATGGCTGTTCCCTTCGGTCTGATGAACTTAATGCAGAGAATAAGCATATATGTAGGGTTTTTTTGGCCCCTTTTTCCGCTACTCTTATTTTGTTTATTTACTATTGATTAAGTTCAGTAATCCCCTAAGGCCTGCCCAAAAAAGTATAAAACTGTCTTTCACTGGAATATTTAGTCATTACCGGGAACGACTGAGATCCAAAGCCAAACAATGTTTCTATTAAAAAATTACATGTATCGGCAATACGCGAAATAACTGGGCATTTTAGAAAACGACGAATAATCACTGTTTGACGCCAAAATATCCTGCTGGCAAGAAAAACCTTGTATCGGCGTTTACATGTATAGGAGTGAATCGCTATGGCAATCTAGTAAGTCGAAAAGAGCAAAAATACGAAGTATTTATTACATAACCACTTAATCTGATGCTAGATTCCATGCGCATTTGGGAAAATACTTGCCTTCTGTCTTTATTCAGTACATCTTATTTTGTTAAGCGTGTTGACCGTACTCTTCGTACACACGAAAATCGGCACCCGAGACCAGAAATGCCAGCCCTAGTATACATCTAGAGACGGATAAGCAATCATTTTATTATTTTTCTCAATAATTAACTTTACTGAAGGGTGGATTTTGTTAAACCAAGTTATAATGAAATCAATCATAAGAGAATATATTTTTTTAGGGAACAATGCATTATCAAAGAAACAACATTATCAACAAACAGGTTAATATGCAAATTAAAATTAATTACAATATTTGACTTTCTTTTTTAAACTGATTGGGTCAATATTTGGAACAGTGCCTTCAGTCAGTCAGTGCCAGCATAATTAATACTTTTATGACTCTCCTTTTGTTATCTCTTCTAACTTCCGCGTGAGATCACTTTACGACATTTCTTTTCTGTATTTAATGAGGAATGGGCTCTACTTTGGCTCGACCTTCGACAGAGATAAAACGACTAAAGAAACTAATATGTAAGGAAAATATGTTCTCTAGTTTAAATTTTTTAATCATACATTTATCAAATTTTAAAATTATAATTTTGATTTTATTATAAAATGATCTGAGGAATCCGCTTTATTATTTTTTAGGAGCATTCTTAATACCATACTCATTAATGTTAGTTTTTGGAGCAGTTCCGTTGTTTTATATGGAGTTGATTTTAGGACAATTTAATAGGCAGGGGCCTATTAGTATATGGAGAATATGCCCTTTATTTAAGGGTAAGCCATTTTTGGATTATTTTTTATGTTACGGGATTAAAATAATTAATTTCAGGTGTAGGATTTTGTGCAGTACTGGTAGCATTTTATGTATCATTTTATTACAACGTAATTTTAGGTAAGATAATGATTACAGGTTTCTATAAATTAGTCCAGTAAATGAAGGTTGAAATCACGGCTTCATCGTCAACCGAGACTTTTTAGGCGGATTGTGTACCTTTTGGGGAGTAGTTTTAGGGAAAAATTGTAATTTTTTAAGCTTAAGTAACTACCTATAAAAATGGTCCTTATCATTTTTTACGCAGAATTAGTAGTTTTTGAAAAATTCCGCCTCGAAGATCCCTGTATTGTCTCTCCAAGCCCTAACGCTCCGAAGATAGATTACATAAGTGTGTTATTAATAATTTTCTCCTATTTAGAAATATTATCCAGTCTATGCGGCTACAACTAAACTAAAACGTGTAATTGACGACAACAATAATTATTGTAGTTGACGAACGAACTCCTGAGTTGCTTACAGAGACTCTAAAACAACTGTTAAATAAATCTTAACAAATAAGCTATCATTAGTGAAAATATAAATAAGTTTGTAAAAATCTAAAAAATTTTGGGTGAAGGAATGTTTTCTGTTTTTTTTATTATCAAAATATTAATAATACTTTATTTGTCAAAATATGACAAAATTCCAACAAATTCTAAAATGTGATAGCTCTTGATTCTACCTTTTAAATTAATTTTGAATCATCAAAAAATATTACGTTTTGAAAAAAATTAATATTTAAAAAAAAATTGAATCATCAAAAAATATTAATATTAAATCCTAACCAACGTAAACAATTTTATTGTTCTATCAATCAATAATACGCTTATGAAATCTATCTTCGGAGCCGTTAAGACTTCGAGAGAAAATTCAGGAATCTTCGAGGCGGAATATCTCGAAAACTATTAATTCTACTTAAAAAATAATAAGGACCATTTTTATAGGTAAACTTAATTTTTATTTCAAGAAAAAACTGATTTTCAGCTATTTGGGGCCATTTTTTTCGGCTGAAGCTGGCCGAATACGGTGTTACAGTTTTTTAGACTACAACTACTCCACAAAAGATACACAATTCGCCTAAAAAGTCATGGTCGACGAATTAAGGTAGATTCTCACTATATATTCCATATCAGCTCCCTTCCGTTTTTATAAAATAATATATCATGTAAATGAATAGGACAATGCACACTATCCATTCCGTTTCCCTTCCGTTCCATATCCTTTCCTTTTCCAAACCAAACCAAAACGGACTGAAGCGTATCGGAAACAGCATTGTCAAGTTCTTACATTTGTACCAGCTTTGTTAAAATTTTGCTGATATTTATTTATTCTTTCAACTCTTAATTAAATCTATTACCTTTTTCAAAAGATACAAATTTTTAAAATAAAACTTTCGTAATGATATAAATTCTACTATAAAAAGTATGGAACTGATACGGAACGGAAGCTTACGTATAGCGTCAATACAATAAAAAATACGGAATGGATATGAAATGGAAACGGAAGGTATAGTGAGAATCAACCTTCAAGCCGAGACTTGGTTTTCTTCGTGTCATTATTTACTGAAGTAAATATAAAAATCTACATACAAATGTGTGAAATTATATTTCTATTAAACAATGTTACAGTTTAACATTGTGATGAAAAAAGTTCTATACATACCTATGAATTAATATTTAGTAGAATATTATTTTTAGCATGGGCTTTATATTATTTGGGCTCAAGTATCTCTGAAGAATTACCCTGGATGCATTGTAATAATTCTTGGAATACAGAGCTGTGCTGGGAAACGCGTGAAATAAACGATACAAACAGGACATATGTTGTATTGTTAAACGCAACTAACAATAAAATGACAAAACATACACCAGCATTTGAATTCTTTCAGTAAGTGATAAATGCATTTACATTTCATAGTTATACACATCTCTCATAATTGTGTTTCTTCACGGTACGAAAAATTTTACGGTTTTAATGTTGCCAACCAAATAAGATAAAATTCGTAAAAAAACAATTTGTCTATAAACGTATTATTATTTTTAGTCGTGCAGTACTCGAAATGCAATGGAGTGATGGACTGCATGAAATGGGATATCCAAAATGGCAGTTGGTAGTTTGCTTGATAATGATATACTGTTTACTCTACGTTTCTCTTTTCAAGGGGGTAAAATCATCAGGTAAACTGACGTTATTGCCATACATATACAGGGTGGTTCCAATTATATTTGGAAAATTTTAGTAGCATATTCTGCAGATAAAAATGAGTAAAAAAGTTCGTGTATATTTATGTCCTAAAATGCTTAGTTTTAGAGATACAGGTTGTAGAAGTTTCATTTTTATTTCAATTTTTTTCCTAATAATTTTTGATCTAACGTTGATATTAGTATAAAAATTGGTGTCGGAAAGTTTTTTGAAATGAGAAATTTGATTTCGATGTCAAAATGACTGCTATTTGTAGGAGCGCCACCTATATTTTTAACAGGTTTGAAGAGTAATAACTTTCCTCTATAAATCTACGTCCATACCTCTATAAATCTACTGAGTGGAAAAATATACATTTTCGCCGTTTTTTGCGTAAAATAGGTTTCTTGGTAAAAATTGCTACGAGTAATGGTTCTCGGGATATTTGGAATCGACATAATCACTACATTTAATCATAACAATAATTGAACACGTGAACTAGATAGTTATGTAACAAAAAAAAGCTCTAACAAAAAAAGGGCACGGCTCTACGACCATGAAACGAATAGAAGATAGAATTTCTTACTATAAATGCTTTTATATAAGTGTAATAATTAATTTTTAAGGTTATATAGTTTTTTGTTGTACGAGTAGTTCTTTAGTAAAAATACTCTTTTAAATAAACAAGACTTTAAATTATCCGCACGGAATCCAGTTATTAATAACAGTTATTAAAAAAAATGTAACAGTATCTGAAATCATACATTTAAAACACTTTTGTGTCAAAGATTCAACAGAAAATGTTTTATTTTTTTCTAAAAAAAATATAATTAATTTAAAAAAATAAATAGTTCCAAAACTTCAAATTCATTTCAGTCAAATAACTACCTAGTCAACATGTTAATTTTTTGTCAGTAATGACATATGTATTGATAGTTTATATTCCAAATATCTCGAGAACGGTTAGTCGGAACCACTAGTCGGAAATACCAAGAAAGAGATTTTTTATATAAAAAATGGCGAAAATTTATATTTTTTCATTTGCTAGTTTTATACAGGTACAGAAGAAAAAATATTACTCTTCAAATCAGTTAAAAAATATGTACGTAGCGCTTCCTATAACTAGAAGTCATACTGGCATTGAAATCAAATTTCTCATTTTAAAAAACTTTCAGACACAATTTTTATCCTAATATCAACGTCAGATCAGAAATTATTAGGAAAAAATCGAAATAAAAATAAAACTTCCAGACCCTGTGTCTTCGAAGCAGTTTAGGACATAAATATATACGAACTTTTTGTACTTATTTTTATCTGCAGAACATGCTGCTGAAGTTTCTCGAACACAATTCGGACCACCCTATATGTCAAAATTTAAAAAGTATAATTATTTGTTTCAGGAAAAGTGGTATGGGTAACTGCGACTATGCCATACGTAGTCCTTACTATACTATTAGTTAGAGGTTTAATGTTACCTGGATCTTTGTCGGGCATTTCGTACTACTTGAAACCCGAACTATCAAAGTTAAAAGAAACTCAAGTGAGTTTATCAGATATTATAATGCCATTGTGTCATAATTTTTATTATTTTTTTTTTGGTTTATATTATTAAATATAAACAAAGATTGTTTCTTTTGATTCTATTCAGTTGGATTTTGAGATTGCAGATTTTATACCTTAAACTAAATTTTAGGAACAATTTATTTCTTTAATGCTTTACGTTAGTTATTTATACTTCACGTAAAAGCATTTATGTACATTTACAAGCAGTCTTTATTTCTTTTAAATTTCCCTTTTTGCTATTGGATGCTGATTTGCAATTTGAATTTAATTCTGGCCTAAAGAAAAGAACAAAAAATAGGGGAATCGTGGGAAACGAGTAAAGATAACCTTATTTTTCTTGAATTTGTGCGCTCTTTTTTGTACCGTATAAAATTCGTTACTGTTGGAGAATTTTTTCTCGAGTTCCTTTTACTTTTTTTTTCCTTTTAGCACATGTGTGTATGTGTCGTCTTAGGGCGATTATTATGAAAATAAAAGAAATTGAATTGTTTCAGGTATGGGTAGACGCAGCTGTGCAAATATTCTACTCTGTCGGTGCTGGATTTGGGGTACACCTCTCTTATGCTAGTTATAATACTTTTCACAATAACTGTTACAGGTAAGATCAGTTCATATATTAGTAATTTTAGTGCAAAGTGCAATATACTGAGAAAATATTTTTTTTTCGAAATTAGAAGCGTTTCGAAATTGACAGTTTTTGATATTTATTTGAGATTTGAAATGACATTCTTTTAGGCACAGTATCTAAAAGTGACACTTGTTTAGGCACTAGTGCCTAAAAGTAAAAAATGAAACGTTTCGAAACAACGAGTTTCGAAATCGACGCTTTGCACACGAGTTCGATAGTTTGTTGGCTCGAGCCGCAGGCAAGAGCCACAAATCGAACGTGTGTACAAAGAAGTTTTCGAACGAGTTTTTTACGCTATTTTTCTACGACTACAAATTAGCAGCAGACTCACTCAGTTTTTGTCAGTTTTGTGGAATAATTTGCGATGTAATGATGACACTTTTCTGATGGCTGCGTTGCGTTTGGCGTTTCAGCTAAACATTGGAGGTTAAAAGTGTTAAAATTGACACATGTTGTGTGCACTAAGACACATGTCGTGCGCTAAATCCTTAGCACACAACAGTTTGCAAAACGCCAATTTCAGATCGAGTTTTCCGTGTGTCAAACTGCATTTTCTAGGCTAGTCATAGAAAAAATATTTATTTATTATAAATCTTAAAGGTACAATTATTTAAATTATTAAAGTGAATACAAGAGGCATCCAACTTTTCGTCTCTAAGAGAAATGGAAGTTGTAGGAGTTGGAATAAGTAAATTTCTTGTACTGGCAATGCTGGTAGCTTCTGCTTCTACGTAAACTGCTTTTAATTTCTTATTTGGCGTATCTTTCTGCCCCATGAATCTTTTTGCTATTTCGGTTTTCTGTTTTATTCAATTCGAATTTTCAATGTAACCTTCAGCAACCGAGCTTGATCGCCAACCCCCATGTCGCTATAAAACTGTTATGCCCGCTCCTTAATCTGCCAGCATTGTTGCAGAGCTGCGCCGGAAACAATAACCAGTGTATTCAATGGCGTTGGTGAGTCCAAGAACTTTCGCTATCTTGTTTGGTATACCCCCAATTGTACTTATTCCAACTGACAGGGTATAGCATTGATTTTTTCGATACGTCAAGAAAAATCGCTGATGTGTCACATTGAGTGTTCGAAGTTTTGCGTACGAAATACATAATATTAAAAAATAAAATACACAATAATAAAAAAAAATACACAATATTGACTTACGAAATACATGTAAGAAATTGATACCATTTATTGGTCCCTCAGTAATCGTAAACACTCTTAGAAAATGAGTTTTTGTATTCGGAATCTTCACACTAATATAAATGACTGACAATCTTTAATGACATCTACGGTCAAAAACGTGATTTGAAAATAGAAAAGTAGAACCTCCTACATGCTCCAAATACATCAAAGATGAGCTACAACTTTAGCTAACAGGAATTCTTTGTCATCGGCTTCTTTCATAAAGCGTTCTATTTCCAGTTTTGTAAATACTTTTGATTTCTTTGCCTGATATCCGGAAGCTTTTATTTTTAAAAATGCAATAAGGTTTGTGAATTTGCTAATATCTACGTCTCTGTTCAGGTCAATCATGGTGCGGAGAAAGCATCGAATATTTACTCCACAGAGTTGACGGCTTTAAGGTAGTGGATAACTTCAGGAAATAGGCTAGCAATACCTTTTCTGTGAAATTCTCAACATGTTTTTCTGTGACCCAGGTTTCAAAGTTGTTGTAGGTGGTCTCGTATAAGTTTTTCGACTTCTCGGGCACTAACGTGGATAGCGCAGTTTCAGCAGCTTGTTGAATATCCAAAGAGTCGTCATTATCACTCATTTTTTCACAAAACTTTTTAGAAAATACGGCGACGTTGGAACCTGACAGAACTTTGTCATTAAACAATGCATAAACAATGCCTTACAAACCGATTACCAGAACATTTTAAAAAATGTTTAAAATAAATATTAATAATAGCATGAAAATCACAAATTATCCGCTTTCACAAAAAATCTTGTATGAAATTCGTTGCGGAAAGAGTGTTTTAAGCACTCGACGCATTGTCCATTGACAATTTTGCGTCCCGTGCTGAAAACACATTCATTTCGCAACTTGTTACATAAATAGCTATTCCGTAATTAATTAAATATTTCTTTTGAAGGGACTGTATTATCACAACAATAGTAAACTGTTTTACTAGCTTTTTCTCCGGGTTTGTCATCTTTACATATTTAGGTTATATGTCACACAAACAAGGAGTAGACATAAAATATGTAGCCACTGAAGGTAATAAGACATACAAAAATTGTTTCGTTTTTCAGAAAAATAAATAAATAATTGTATTTTTAGGGCCTGGACTAGTTTTCCAAGTCTACCCGGAAGCTGTAGCTACACTTCCTGGATCTCATCTTTGGTCAGTCTTGTTCTTTTTCATGTTGATCATGTTGGGAGTGGACTCCGCGGTATAAAAAATATCTTTACACTGGGTATTTTTTTAAAAGTGTCTCATCTTTATAACTTTTTTACATTTTTAGATAATAAAACCAAATTTGGTATATTATTATAGTACATAAATATAAATTACAACACAAATAAAATAGTATTTGTGTTGCTATATCATATTATATTGTTTAATAATAATTTTGCGATTGTTTACATTTGGGTTTTTTATTTATTTATTTTTTTCTGGAGTTAAATGAAAGAGCAGAACTTAATTTTTATATTTTGAATTTTGGTCCATTTCCCACTAAATTTGTTTTCTTCTGTTATATTTTCCTAATATTAAAATTTTATTTAGTTTATTGTAAGGCTACTTTTCTTGATTTTTTTTGGGGAAAATAAAGACAATTACATACTTACATAATCGGGATTGAATGACGTATTCAATTACTTTCGGTCACTTCCTATTCCATCAAAACTGACTAGAACTTTTGATGTTTAAATGGTATTTATTTTCCTCGGTATTTATTTTACTTTAAATGAAATCATGAATAGAATGACATATCATTTGTCATCTTTTGACATTTTTAATTAAGAAAACTAGCGTTTTAAATTTTAATCTACAATGCCATGGCTGTATTAAAATCAGTATTTTTTTATCAAGGGGCTTTGGAAAACTAGATTTGATCGTCTAATGTTTTTCGTGTATTCACTGGTCGGCTAAAATATTCCCAAATAGTATTTTCAATCACAACTCAATTGTCTCAAATGGAATGAGTGTGGCTCATTAGCATACTTGGAAAATAAAATTCTCGAATAATTTGGTACCACGTGGTAGGTATGTCGAGTTTAATTGTTATGACATTTATGGTCATAGCACTCTAAATTGAAATTTAAGTTGCTATTTTTAAATGGAAATGTCAAAAGTTGACATATGGTATGTTATTCTATTCAAATTTCATTTCCATCAAAAAAGAGTCAAAAATACTGAGTACCATTTAAATATCAAAACTTGAAGTAATTTCCACTAAAAGAGAAAGTGAACAAAACAAATTGAATACGTCAGTCAATCCCCACTTCTCTCATGTCATATACCTACTAACATACCAAGTGGTGAGCAACTTTTGAAGAAGACCCGGTATTGATATAAATAGAAAGATATATTTTTTTTAGATGGGTGGATTGGAGTGTGTGATTACGGGTTTGATGGACGAATTTTCGGTGTTCTTTAGAGAAAGAAAATATGCAAGAGAGGTTTTTACATTGTTTGTAATTATAACATCATTTTCTGTGGCGTTAATCAATGTTACACCAGTAAGTATCAGTATCTAGGGTAATTTAATAAATACAATAATATAATAGAAAATATGTTTTATAGGGTGGAATCTATATGTTTCATTTATTCGACACGTATTCAGCTGGAATATCATTGCTGTGTTCAGCACTGTTTGAAGCAATAGCGGTTTCATGGTTTTATGGTAAATAAACTTGTAACGTAAACAAAATAATATTTATTAATTATTAATACAATATGAAGATTATATATTCAAAATTTTATAATGTAAATATTAAAATATTAACGTTTTTGTTCTTCAGGGTTGGACAGAATGACACAGGATGTTGAAGCCATGCTTGGTATAAAACCAGGGATTTATTGGAGGGTATGTTGGAAGTTTATCAGTCCTTCCTTTATTGTGGTAAGTATAATATACCCATTTTCATATACAGGGTGTTGTAAAAAACAAGAGTAAGAGCCATAATGACACGTATTAAGCTGGAATACTATTGCTATGTTCAGTACTGTTTGAGACAACTTTCTTTTCTCTCGTTAGCAAAATTGTGTAGGCAGTTTAATGCCGATTAAAAGTTGTATCTTGGCATTTTGTCATAAATTACTTATTTGGTTGTAACTTTATAACACTGATGTTGATCGCTATCTACATCAAATTCAAAAAAGAAATACAGGGTGTCCCAGAAATAAGTGCAAATATTTTAAGGGGTGGTAGATCTCGATAAAAGAAACATATTTTTTCTTTATCGTTTTTCAAATAAATCCAAAATAACGGAGTAATTTAAGGAGTAATACTTTGAAAATTTCCAAAAAAAATGATTTTTTGCTAAAATTTTGAGAACCACTGGATCTTTTCTGGATTTTTTTCTTGTAAATTTAATCTAATACCTATGTTGACACATAATCAAGAAATTATGTTTTTTAACTAAAAACTAAAAAAATTTCCAAAAAAATTTTCAAAAAATGTCGAATTTTCAAAAAAAAATGTTCACGAAAAAAAACCGTATAGGCGTGTTTCTGGAGTTGAACTATACTACCAGTTAAAATATTTGCACTTATTTCTGGGATACCCTGTATATTTAAAATAATTAAAAAAGATCTATTTTTTTAAGTTTTAACCGTAATTTTAAAACTATGCATATTCGCATCCATGTTTATAGGAACTTTTATTCATATTTTTTTTTTAAAGGAATCACTTAGTACTTATTTAACATTTTAGTCACTTAATGACATTAAAACTTTTTAAATGCTGCTACAGGTTGCTATTAGACTTGGATTAAGGCAACTTAATAAAATCGCTTTTATCGCATCAAGAAAATCCAAATCGACAAAATATTAAGAGACAACTTTTAATCGGCATTAGACGATCTACACAATTTTACTAGCAATAGTAAAAAAGTCAGTAGCGCACATGTTTTTTTTAAAGAATATTCCAGTGATAACCCATACGCACGTCACTGGTGAATATTTCGATACTTTATTAGCATTAAAATACACTCGCCGGCACGAAAAATGGGCACCTTAATTTTTTTTATATTTTAAAGTTTAATATATTTTGTTCTAATGGGCCGATTTTGATGATTTTTAAGCAATTTTTAGCTGAATTATTTGACTTTTTATTACCCTTTTCTAAATTAATAATGAAAGTTTGCATCCGTCAATTATACGAGGAAAAACAAAATGTTGATATTATAGTGAAACTTTGAAATACCCTGTGGAATATAACAAAGAAAGAAATTTAAAAATAATTTTATCATCTAGGTACCTACATCTTTTTTGGTTCTGTTTTTGATTGATCTCAATAATAGCTTTATTTTTATTGCAAATATTCGCTTTTCAATAAGACCGTACATTTTAACGCATTTTAGCACTGATTTTGGGTTCTCATCAACACACCTATAAAATAGTGTTTATTATTTTTGTAATGTCAGAGTGATTGAAATATCATATTATTGTTTATTGACGTTTACTCAGGTAGAGATGGTTTTAACTTCTGAAGTGCTCTTTTAAGTGTCTTCTGCTATTGTTGCTCTAATTGATCATGGTAGATATTAACTTTTGAACTTAAAACCATATCTGCTAGGGCAAAGAATATACCTAGCTAGAAAAAGAATGGACTCTGCCATACTGAAAAGTGGTCCTACAGAAGTGGCGCCATCTATTGAGTAGGGCTTGTTTTAAATGGATTGAAGCGCGGGCTTTTTAAATGAGCGTATTTATTGAATTTTACTCTAAAATAATTAGATTTGATTATTAAATGTTATTTTTACACAAATTCAACAATACTAATAACAAGTATCGTTGTGCTGTTTAAAAAATAAGATATAGCTGTTTTTTCTATTTCATATTTTTTGATGAGGATAAGTTAATTCTAAATGAAACGCCACCTGTTTGAGAACAATACGATATAATGGAGCGATGTAGCATTTAGAGTAACTTATTCTTATTAAAAAATAAGAAATAGAAGAAAAATTACCCATTTCTGTACAAAAAAATAAATTACGTTCCAAAAAATTGATAATAGATGGCGCTAGAGTGGACAAAACAACATAGTTACCTGTAGTTAAAATGTAAAGTTTCCTGTAAAATAAAATAAAATTCTATCATAAGTTCTGTAACGACCCGATGCATGGCGCCACTGAATTCTCCAACAGACGGTATCATTTCAGTTTCCTATATATTTTAGTTTGTATATGTTGATAATCATTTATTTGATAATATTATGATCGGCGCTATGACAACGACAACATTTTTTGTGAATTTGACAATAATATGACAATGGTCGTTGGAAACTATGGAAACTACAAAAAAAATTATGATTTAACGCCATATGGCATAAACTAGTAGCAACTTCTTAACCTAAAAATTAATTGCACTACCACCTAGTGGCTAGGGCTGGAACTATTTTATTCGAGATTTCCGTGGAAACGGTGGAACCGCTTTTGCTATTTCACTTTCCCGCCCCTGTGCTAGAGTATCTGCCCAGTAGACAATAATAAGATGATTTTTCAAACACAGTGACATTACATAAATCATTGCCATTATTTTATAGGTGTGTTGACAAGGACCGAAGCAAAGTCACGGTTTCACTGTAAAAAATACGAAAACATGTTAGTGTCTTCTTTAAAAGCGAATATCTCTCCAAAAAAATAAAGCTATTGAGATGAATCCAAAAATAAACTTTCGAAAAAAAGAGACACCTAGATGGTAAATTTATTTTCGAAATTCCTTGATTTGTTAACGTACTCCACAGGGTATTTCAAACTATCACCAAATTAACAATATTTTGTTTACACTCGTATAATTGACTAACCTTCATTTTTAATCTAGAAAGAGACACTAGAAAGTCAAATAATTTAGCTACAAATAGCTTAAAAAATCATCAAAATCGGTTAACTAGAGCGCAATATACCGGGTGCGTCTCAAAAGTGGCTCACCCCCTATAACTTTTTTATTTTTTCAGATAAAATAACATTTGGTATGTTAGAATATTACAGTTGAGGGTTGGAACCTTTGGTGTTACACAGCAAAATAAAAACACTAAATCACCACAATACACCAAAACACATTTTATCAGTTTATAATCATCTGCTGATGATGCTAACATGGTTAGCGAAACGCGCGTCCAGTGTAAAAGTAAAAGTGTTTTCGTGTATTGTGGTGATTTAGTGTTTTTATTTTGATGTTAGAATATGACATAAACCGAGATTGATTTACATATTCAATTGTTTTCTGTCATTTCCGGTTTTACCGGAAATTACTACAACTTTTGATTTTTAAATGGCACCCTCGGTATTTTTTTACTTTATTCGATAGAAAATGACATTCTGAATAGAATGACATATCATATGTCAACTTTTGATATTTTCGCATATGGTTTATTTGAAATTGTAACATGCAGTTCATAACGACAATTTGACTCGAAATACCAAGTGTCTGGTATCAAATTATTCGTAAAAAAATGCTTTTTCAAATTATGTTAATGAGCCACCCTCGTTCCATTTGAAAAAATTGAGATATTATTAACAATACGATTAAGACATCTTTTAACCCGCGAAGACAAGACACTAAAAACATTAGACGATCAAATTTATTTTTCCAAGGCTCCTTGATTAAAAATTAGTGTTTTTAACAGTCATGGCACTCTAGATTGAAATTTAAAATACAATTTGTTTTTTAGCGAATATGTCAAAAGTTGATATATGATATGTAATTTGATTCAAAGTGTCATTTTTAATCTAATAAAGTAAAAAAATACCGAGGGTGCCATTTATAAATCAAAAGTTGTAGGTAGTCATTTCCGGTGAAACCGGAAGTGACAGAAAACAATTGAATACGTCCATCAATCTCAACTTATGCCATATACTAACGTATCAAATCTCGTTTTTTTATCTGAAAAAATAAAAAAGTTATAGGGGGTGAACCACTTTTGAGACGCACCCGGTATAAAACTTTATAATATAAGAAATTTATAAGGTGCCCGTTATTCGTGCCGATGAGTGTATGTTGCACTAATAGTAACTACTTTTACACTCAAAATTTCATTCGAATCGCTAAAAGCATTTGGAAGAAAATTATAACAAATCGAAAAAAAAATAAGATTTTAACCCCCTATATAGGAACAAAACGAATCAGAATCGAACCTATGTTGATATGAAAAGTACATTTAATTTTTACATGAGGAATCTGTCCACGAGAGATGACAGATGTCTTTTGAATCGCCCTGAATTAATACTAATATACGATACTAATATGATATTTCTTAAAATACTGATCTATCCGAGTTTTTTTGGTATAATAAAAATAAATGCTACTATGTAACATAATAAACAAATTTATCCATAAACATACACAAAACCCAACATATGCAAAGAAAATGTAAACAAACCTGTTGTTTGCTGCTGATTTGTATATCTTGGGTAGTTTTTTTTTATTTTATTTGTCTGAGGATTTATCATAAACAATTTTTCAGTGTGTCGTGATGTTTGGTCTCTTGTACCATCAACCTCTTGTATACAATGACTATTTCTATCCCACGTGGGCAGAATGGGTTGGCTGGACATTGGCCCTATCATCCATAATGATGATACCCATCGGAGCTATCATACAGTTGTGCAAAACACCAGGTACATTTAAAGAGGTACCAACTTAGCACTTATATAATAGTGTTCCTTTTTATATAAACATATTTTTTTCTAGAGGGTAGCATTGTCCATATCACCAGTCGAAGAGCACGATGACATAAGACGAAGCAAACTAATCAGAAGATTTAAAGCTAAGCACTGGTTGTATGTTTAAAGAAGTTGAATGTGGAATTTTGTTTGTTGTAAAAATTTACATTACGCCTTGGGCGTTATTTTATTTAATTTGTTGGAAAATAGAGAAATTTTATAAACTGTACAGTCAAAAAGGATTAAAAAAAAAAAAAAATTGTGTCCTTTACTGTACACTTTTTGTTGTTTGTGTTAAACCATATCTGCTTCTAGAAGTAATTGTACAAAAAAAAAGAATTGTATTATCCTCGAATATAGTACGTTATTGCTCAGATTTAGATTGTAGTGAGATATACAGGATGTGCAACAAGAGTTCGAAGAGCTGATTCCTGGATATATTTTTGAAGAAGTTTAAAATATATTGACATTGACATATTATCAACTATTAGTTCAAGATAACTTACAGGGTCCGGCAATAGTGCGTCGGGCATCTGTAGCTCCTATAATAAAAAAATTAGCAATTTTGTTTAGGTGCAAACCTAAACTATGTATTAAGATGTATTTCAGGAAAATAGTTTAACTTCTACAGGGTGACAAAAAAGTGTGTGTGGATCATGATGATTTTTTTTAAATGGAATACCCTGTATATTATTACATTTTTGGCTTCCTTTCTGATCACGTTGCATAATCTTAAGTAAAGCTTTACATAATCACGTTACATAACATAACATAATCTTAAGTTCTAAGCTTTTTAGCCTTTTTTAAAAAAAATTATTAAAAATACAAGAATTGTCCTAAAATCAAAACTATATCAGGTGTTTACTTTAGATAGTGTGTACTTACTTTGCTATAAATATCGTAATCTTAAATCATACAGGGTGTTCCAAATTCTACGCCAAACTTCCTAAAATATAAAATAATTTTTCTTCGTTATTTTAAACCTGTATATTATTCTTTTAATAGATGGAGAATTAAAAAATGAACATTTTTCGCAGTATTATTTCATATGGCTCTTTCAACGGTAAAAGGTTTACTATGGAAAAGGCTATATGAAATATAAAACCGCAAATATCTGCGAAACCGTTAAAAATTTTGAAATACTCTAAACACAAAAAATATTTATTTTTTAATTCTCCATTTTCTAAACAAATAATATACATACATATCTATTTAAAAAAACGAAGAAAATTTATTTTATATTTTACAAAATTTGGCGTAGAATTTTGAACATCCTGTATGATTTAATATCACGATATTTATAGCAAAATAAGTACAGACCATCTAACGTAAATAAATAATTGATTTTAGGACAGTTCTTGTATTTTTAAAAATATTTTTTATGAAAGGTTGAAAAATATATATTTTTTATTTATTTTTTAATATCTCTGAAACTATCGAAATAGAAGCCAAAATGCAATAATATACAGGGTATTCCATTTGAAAAAAATCATCCCGATCCAGTCACACTTTTTTGAGCCACCCTGTAGAAGGTAAAATATTTTTCTGAAATACATCCTAGTACATACTTTAGGTCAGCACTTTTTCCAAGTTCTTATTCTAGGAGGTACAGATGCCCGACGCACTATTGCCGGACCCTGTATATACTGACAATTTTTAAAATCTCGACTCTCGATTTATTGACGGAAACTTATTGACACTTAGTTTGGAAGTTAAGTACTTTTAATCAAACTATTTTCAACTTCAGGAATCGTCTCTTGAATTTTTGAATTATATATTTTAATGCAACCCTGTATAGTAATGAATATGCCGTCTAAATTACTGTTATTTATAGATACAATTTTTTTAAACGAAGTTGACACTATGCCAGAAAACTGTACATAAAACCATTTCTATTGTCGAAATGTCTGACAGCCCTGCCTTCGCTGTCAAATATTTCGATCCATGGAAAATATATTTTTAGATAAGGAAGGATCAAAAAGAACCACAAGAGAGCTTGCCAAAAAGAAAATAAATAAAAATAGTAATAATGTAATGTATGATGTTTTATTTTAAAAAACGGAATAGGTGTACACATACATATCGTTCTAGTACACTATTAGATATCAGTTACATTTCACTTTTTTTATACAGAGTGAGTCTTAATCAAGTGCAAATATTTTTAGAGGTAGTATATTTTGACCCCAGAAACACTGTTATGATTTTTTTTTCTTTTTTGGGAATTTTTTGAAATTTTTTTTTGGGAATTTTTTTTAGTTTTTAGTTAAAAAAACAATTTCTTGATAATATGGCAACATCGGTAGTAGATTAAATATATGCCAGAAGTAAAACAAAGAAAAGATCCAGTGGAAGCAAAAAATTATATTTTTTGGAAATTTTTGAAGTAAAACAACTCGATTATTTTGGACTTATTTGAAAAAGGGTAAAGAAGAAACCAGACCAAACCAGCCCTGAAAATATTTGCACTTATTTAAAACTCATTCTGTATACATATACAAGGTGCCTCTTAAATTAATGCAAGTATTTTAACTGGTAGTAGATTTCGGTCACAATAAACACATTGTCTTTTTACAAAAAATTGAAAATATGACATTTTCCGGAATCACTTCATTCTCCTGAAATTTCTTAGTGTATCAAGGAATTGCAAGGTTACTACACAGTAGTTCTATGTTCACGGAATTTTGGGACACCCCGTATATACACTTAATTAAGAGAAACCCTGTATTTATACATCTTTAGCGAGTACCTAAAAATATTGATATAAAAAATTCAAAAATGTCAAAATACCATATAAAATACGTTTAGCGAATGTATAAAAAAATACTACGTATATTACTACTATTAAATATAACATGAAAAAATAAAACAGATGTGTATAAATAATACAGAGTAGTATTCAAAATGCTGAACATAGCATTAAAACTTCGTTTAATACAAATAAATAACAAAATAATTATTTATTTTTTAATAAAAACAGAAATATATTTGTTTCATTAAATCGAATACATCAATATTTCGCCACAATACGTTCACCCTGTATACATTCATCTTTCTACAAGTACCTTAACGCTAACAATATCTCGTTAACAATTTTCTCGTTTTCAAAAAAGCGCGTTTAACTGGTTGCCTACACGTTTAAACGCGCCGTTTTCAAACTTTAAAAAGAATCGAAGATTATAACAAGTTTGGTAGTATAAAATATAATCACTTATGAACTTTATGCCATACAAAAAGACTTATATAGTTACTAATTCCAGTACATAGAGTATTGTTGATTACGTAAAATACTATTTTATAAAACAATAATTAAAAGACAAATATAGTTTTAATTTTGAGAATATCAATACACATCATCCTATTTTAAGGTTGAGGATTTTTATAAGATTCAATTTTTAGCGACATGACAAATTTATATTCTTAGTACAGTGGTGCGCCAAAAAATTTTAATGTTTTTTAATGAGATTCATTACAAAAAGAGTATTTATAGCCAAAAGTTCTTCGGCCTCCACAACAAGAAAAATTATAATTTTTTATGCGATAGCTCTCATGGCGGCGAATTACAGAAATGTACTTTGCATCGAAAAACGATGTATTTACAGCGGATTTGGTGACAAAGTATCGAAAAATTAAAAATAAAAGTTGTGTACCAAATTTCACATGTATTCAGGGATTTTAAAAAAAATATCAATTGATTGAAAATCAATGATTTTGAATTTTTTTTCAAAATGAAGTAAATATGACAATAGCTTCTAATATAATTTTTGTACTTTTCTGTTTTAAAAATAACTGTAAAAACGGTTTTTAAGATACAAATTATTATATATTTTTTCTTATCTAGAATGGTCAAAGTATTTAAGTAGTCTATAAAGCTACTTTGAATATATTTAGAGTGTTCTTCTAATGTAATAAAAATAAGTTTTGCTAGTTTACTAGTGTTTACTAGATTTGTTTTGGTTTATGCCATTCATTTTGTTTTTTTTTCAAAAAATAACTGATATTTTTTAAGTCCCTATGTATTTATAAAACTTTGTATATACCTAAATAATCGTAAAATCAAATTTTGAATAACTTTAGTCACCTAAGAACATTTTTGCTTATGTATAGAAATTCGAATTGTTTTTTTAGCCGACCATACCACCAGGTATGGTAGGCTATTAAGATCGGCAAAAAAAAAAGTTTTTTAATTTCACTCTCAAAATGAGTTATTTGTTATTTTTTAAATACAAAATATTTTGGGGTTAATAAGGGGGTTAAAAATTTAAAAAAATCGTAACTCCAAAATTACAGTAGTTAGCGAAACGCGGATTTCAATTTAAGATTAGGAATAATATTTGCAACAAAATTTGTAATAACATCAAAATCAGTCAAAGTCGCAGTTTTTGAGATATTTCGTGTTTCCGTACTCCGTTTTTGAGAAAATCCGTGTGGAGAACTCCAAACTCCCATCGGACGCGACCCCAGGAGGCGGATAGTGGAAAGACACGCGGACCAAAATTGGAAAAATTCCTTTACTTTGAAACTAAAAGAAATGCCTATCAAGATTTTATTAACATATTTTAGTATGGGCGGCTATACGCGCCCCCCGGCGCCAATTTTTTAGTTCACTTTTTAAATTACTAAATATTAAAACAAATCAATTTGTTATGAACTTTTTGACACACTCAAATATACCCACAACAATAGAAGTTGGAGGATGTGTAGGAAATTCTATAGAGTATTTCCCCGGATTGTCTTTACGAGAGGAAACATAAACTTATTTTGATTTTTAGAACAAAAAATTCAAGCAGATTTTCATGTTTTTTTTTATTTTCTCTAAAACCGTATGGAAATTTAAAAATGTATAAACTAGATTTAGAATAAGCAAAATTTTTTATGAAATTGCGTTTTTCTCAAAAAAGTCAATAATAAAAAGTTTTTTCTCTTGTAAAACAATTCGGGAACATACTGTATACAAGTACAGATATACAAAAAAACGTATTATATCAGTCGAAAATCTTTGTTTCTTTAACATTTTTTTAGTATTTTAGGCCTAGATTTGAACCAAGAACTTTATCAAATTCTACAGGTAGAAAAAAGTAAATTTAAGTAAAAATTTCTGCTCTTTTGGTCACTTTCGTAAAAAGATCTTATCGTATTTATCAATATTTTTTTTAATGTTTTCCTTTTACTTATATAAAAATTGTATCACAAAAAACACCTATTTTTCGATCCATATTTAAGTAGTCCATACACAGTCTTCGGATCATACATTCAAAACAGTTTTCGAAATATAAAAAAAATGTTTATATTAACTTTGTTTTGTAAATGTTATCTCTAATTCTATTAAGGTAAGGTATTTCAGAACTAAGATCCATACCAAAGTTATTTTTTTTTCTTATGGAACACCCGGTATTTTATTTCATTTTTGGATTCTTAGACCCAAAAAAGGGTATTTATTATAAGGGTTAAATATGTTTAAAATCTTTAATTCTTGAGATATTAAAGATATTTAAATATGCATGCTACAATAGAATAGATTATCAACACCCTGTATATTACTTTTCAGAATTAATTCTTGTGCGGAGTTTAATCGTAGAGAAATAAACTTTACTGAAAAATGTTATTGCTTCCTTAAATTTATAAAGGTGTACCAAAAATTGCTGATCTATTTTAAATATATATTCTACATAAAAACTTTGTTTTTTTAAAATAAATCGAAGCAAATTAAATGTTCTTTCAAACTATATTAGAGTTTCCTATACCTATCTAGCTCAAATTTTAAATAAAAAGGGATTTTTCAATAAAATGGCAATCAAGATGGCTGGTGTCGCCATGACAATTTTCTAGTGACAGTTAATAACTATTTTTAGAATCGACATTAGTTTATGGACAATATTATTTAGATTTATAACAGTTTACTAAAATTTATCTACAATAGTTCAATAAGTAAGTATTCATTATTTTATCAAGAAAAATAAAGCAGTATCTGCTGACGGAACGAATGGATATGTTGCTTCTTGGCTTCAATGACTATGCTCAAAGATTTTCAAATAGGAGTCTTCCTCACAAGCGTTCCATTGATACACTACTTGTCCTATTTCGCAATGCTGATAGTATGGTTTATAAAAAACCCATTAGGCAGAAACCTGTCGTTGGAAGTGAAGAAAATGAATTTGTCGTAATTGGTTCTTTTATACAAAATCCATCCATATACTTGTATCTATAAGTAATCTTAAAATAAATCAAAGAACTATTTCTTCGTTTTTCTTATAGAACAGTATAAATACATATTTAATAAATATTATTTATTACATTATTGTGGGTAAATTAAATAAAAGTAAACTGCTATAAATTTAAATAAGTCCATACTAATTTCGTTTTTTAAAATAGCTACTAACTGTCTTTAGAAGCTTGCCATGCCGACATCAGCCCTCTTGATTGCCATTTTATTATAAAAGTGCTATTTATTCAAAATCTGAGCTAGATCGGTATAGGAAACCGTAATATAGTTTAAAAGAGCATTTGCATCTGCTTCGATTTATTATTTATTTTAAAAAAATACAGGGTATTGTATTTGAAATAACGAAGTTTTTTCAAATATAATACCTTTATACATTAAACGTAAACAACTGTATACATTATAACATTAACTGTATATTATTATAACGTTAACTGTATACATTATAACATTAAAAAAGCAATCAAATTTTTCAGTAAAGTTTCTTTCTTTGGCTTAAAAGTTAGCACAAGAATTAATTCTGAAAATCTATCTATAGGGTGTTGACATTTTTTTCATTATAGGATGCATATTTAAATATCTTAAAAACCAAAGCTTTTAAATATATTAAATCCTTATAAGAAATGTCTTGTTTTGTGTCCAAGGATCTAAATATGAAATAAAATATAGGATGTTATGGAAGAAAATATATAACTTTGGTATGGATCTTAGTTCTGACATACCCTGTACATTTCAAAATAATTTTAAATTATGCACATTGCCTTCCCACATATACCCATAAAATATTTTGTTTCTACATCTTTCCGTTTTCAAATAATCAATAATCAATCAAGGCGAATGAGGTGTGGCGCACCTCATTCGTATAAGCGATACCTACCAATTACACTTTTAGTTACGTAATCGTGGGCGCGATTTTTAAATTTATTGGTGCCATACATGACCAACTGGAATTTAAATTTCCCGCTAGGGATTCAGATGGGAGCTCTGCTGTAATAAACGTCAAGTTGCCACATTTGTTTGGTCAAAACAAATCAATTTATAGAATTAGAATACGGTTAGTCCATCTTCAAAACAAAGTTAATGTAAACATTTTTTTGCTCTTTACATCTAATTACATAGAATTTGTTTTTCTTAAAGAACAGAACTTATATCTTCTGTTTCTTTATCTCTGTCCTTATCTTTTCTGTCTTCCTTATCTTTCTTTTTGGATTTTTTCCGTCTCTTTGAATCCCTAGTTTTGGGCGACCGTTCCAACAAGAACAAGGCTTCATGGAAATCGTCCGAACTCAAGTTGGATTCTTGCACGTGCAGCACTGAACTCAAAGCACCATCTGTTGAAGATTTTGGAAACCTATAAACAGACGAAAAAGTTAAATATAGATACTACCATGAAATTATGGAGGGTAGAGGAAGAAGCATTATCTTCGTGTTTTGAAAATGGTCATCAAACAGGGAAAAAGTCTTAAAAACAAGTCTATTAGCAAGAGAAAAAAGTCAGTGTCGTACATGTTTTTTTAAAAAAATATTCCACTGATAACCCATATGCGCGTCCCTGGGGAATCTGTCGACACTTTAAGCATTAAAAGATGTCGCACTTATCCAGAAAAAAATCCAATATTTTCTCAAACTATGAGCAAAAAATCATTTTTTATTTAAATTTTCAAAATAAAAAAACTCCGTTATTTTGTACTTTTTTAAAAAACGGCAAAGAGAAAATATGTTTCTTTTATCGAGATCTACCAGCCATGAAAATATTTGCACTTCATTAAACTCACCCTCTATATAAATTATTAAAAAATCTTCTATCTAAAAAAATTTTTTTCACTTTTTTGCTTATATCTCGGAAACTATGCCATCTACCGAAAAACGCTCTATATATAAAAATTAAGCTGACAAAATTCTCTACACAAATGATTCTACACATTTTTGTTTCCGCTTATGGTTTCCGAATTATGCCCTTCATAAATTTGGATACAAAATCAATGGCATATTCCAAATCCGTGCAAACACATTTTTCTTTGTTGCACGTTTTTCGTTCAAATGCGTTGAAGAAGTACGATATCCATGATTTTTTAAGTATTAAGTATAACTTTTAGTATATACTGCGATTTTATAAATTTTAGAAGTGATGCGTTTACATAAATCACTCCTTGACTGCGCAATTTTATGTGCTAAGATGAATAATGTTTTCTGTTCATTTATTTTGCTTTATATTTTTGTATAATTAAAAGAATTAAAATCGACATTATGTACATAATATATTAAGGAAACAAAGTAAATAATAATACATTTATAAAATAATAGTGAATTATTATGTTTCTGAATTAATTTTTGTGTCGGAAATAAGAAATACGTTCATAATTTTTTTCAATTCAAAAGTCTTATAATGAAAATTAAAGCACCTTATCTTTAATCTTTAATAACATAGATGATTTTCTTGAAATTTAAATTTCGTAATATAGTATACGATATTGTACAAAACTAAAAAAGAATTAGAAAGACCTACTAAATTAAAAAAGTAAGCGATACATGCATTATTATAAATAGTAAATTAAAATCACTTTTTTTATTGAATACAAATTACTTATCTAAAACGGATAATGTGGAATAATATAGATAATTTTAAAGTATGGGAAGTGTGGGAATATCATTATTGTATTCAATTATTGTAGGTACTCAATTCATTGTAAATACTCAATACAGTTATTGAAATTCTGCGAGGGAAGGCTGATACTATGGTGGCAAAATGGATTGGGTAGTGCAGATACGTAAATGTTACACTTTAACAGGAAGAAATCATGTAGAATATCATCTTGTAGAATATTAATCATCTCCATCATTTTAACGCAATATGCAACCTCAGGAAACCAGAGACCTCAAATACTAACGCCTCAAATGCTTCGTACTACTTTAACATTAGAAAAATATACTGCAGACGGGGATAGAAATCTTCAACTCTGAGCAATCATGCACCATAAACCATGATTCTTGGTTTTTGTATATTTTCTACAATATTTGCAGCTGCGTTAAATACTGTAGTATACTGTATTTACCGTAAAGCAGTTGCAAGTTTTTACTTGCAGTTATTGTTAAGTCGTGTGTGCACTAGTGCTCTCCAACGGAAGACAAAAATCACGATGCAATGAGAACTTGAATGATAACACAAGGATCCCTTGATATTACCATTATTAATATGAAAAGTTAAATTTGGACTTTAATTGGATTTTAAATGCGAAAATAAAATATGAAAAATGGTGTTAATTTTGTCAACCCTGTAACTATTAAAAGGTGAGACCTATGAAAAAAAATGCGTTCAACCAATTTTGTGGAGAATTTTCTGGGCTTCAATTTTCTGTGTAAGGTATTTTTTCGTAGGTGTCATATTTTCCGAGATATAACCTAAAAAGTCATAAATGTGACATTTAACCCCTCCCTTCTCCTCGAGCTCAACGTCTATCTTCGCGGACTCTTGACACATATCAGCCCAACTTTAGTTATGGTATGTTAATGGTTTTAAGTTATGGTAAAGTAGAGTTTTATTTTTTTTATTATTTTACCATTCTATATACATTATTCTATTTCGCACTCATTATACCGTTGAAAAAGGATTATTTCACGGATAGCATAGCTGCTGTGTTGGAGCCTCATTTATTACGCACTCATTTCTGGGACACCCTGTACAGGGTATTTTTTATGGCGTCACCAAAATCGGAATACTTAAAATGGTATATCTCAATTTTTTTAAATGCCACATTCTGTATATTATTTTTCTGTCAGATGCAGAATTAAAAAGTGAACATTTTTTTATTTAAAGGGTTTCTAAATTTTTAACGGTTTCGCAGATATTCGCAGTATGATATTACATATGGCTCTTTAAACAGTAAATTTTTATCAAAGCCACCTAATATGATCTTTGTCTGATATTTTATAGTTGGAAATCCCATATTTTAATGAAATACAGAAGATATTTGCAAAACGGCTAAAAATTTAAGAACACTTTAAATACAAAAAATGTTTACCTTTTAATTCTACATCTGAAAGAAAAATAATATACAAGGTGTTGCATTTAAAAAAAATTAGATACAATATTTTAAATATTACGATTTTGATGACGCCTTAAAAATATCCTGTATATGATAAAGTAAATTTTTCTACACGAATTTATTCTGGTATCCTTCGTGTTTAAGGAAACATAGCTAAGTATTAATAAAGTTATATTCACTCTAGTTTTTTACCACCTTTCGTATATAATGTTTTTAACCAAAGTTTTAGTAAATAAGAAATAGAATGGCCACTCCGCAGTGTGCTTTAAATAAAGACGGTGTACTATATGCAGAATTTTATGCCGAATCCAGTTATGTACAGAAAATTAAACTTGTTTTAAATAAAAAAAACGTTCTAGAAAATCTCTGAAATAGATAATAATATAAAAATATGTAATTATATATCTTTTCCGCATTTCTTCCAATCAGAAGATTTTCAGATACAGAAGAATTTTTACCTACGCGAAATGTGAAAATATTCTGTTTTCAAGCATGTTTTTACTCGATGATCAATTTTTTTATTTTATTTTATTGTGAACTCATATTTTCCTAAATATATATCTGTGAAACTATGGCGAGTGCCACGACTATACTTTGCCTAGTTAATAGACCACGACTATACTGCTACGTCAGTGGTCACGGGAGGCGAGAACAAGGTCATATAAAGTGGCAGACAAAGAACTTGAAAAGGATTTGACAGGGAGTAAAACTACTAGTTTCCTTATACTATGGCTATAATATGTGAAGCGACACAACAAGAACGATCAGCGCGGACGGTCACAGCGGCGGATGGTGAAACAGCACTTAAGCGGCCCCTAAACGCTCAATAATATTGCGCAATATTACTCATTGTATAATAATATTGATCATCTGTGTATGTTATTGAAACATTGTACAATATATTGAAAGAATCAAAACTGGTTTGATATTTATTGTGCAATATGAATTATATTGTGTCGTCTGTGGGCAACATTGTGCAATATTTCAACATTTTGTTTAGTTGCATCTAAAACGCCGTGCAGTGAAAGTATTTTTAAACGTGCATTGCTTTAAGTTTAAGCGCTTCTTTTTTCTGACACTCGGCTAATGCAATAACCACACAAACAGACTCTATGTCACTCAACATGTTTTTTCCAAACAAAAATAGCAAGAAACCAATCCGAAACGTTAATACAGCATGAAAGCAAAATTCGACTACACTAACTTGTCCAGGACTTCAATAATATGTGAGATGGTCTGTCTGCGCCGCTTATACTGCACAATAATATTGCGCAATAAAATTGACCGTCTGTGTGCGCCGCTCTAAAATACTGCATAATAATATTGCACAATAATATTGAGCGTTTAGGGGCCGCTTTAGAGTTTTGATTTTTATCGTTATATCATGCTGTAAACTTCCTGGAGACTCTGGCCAAGTTAACATACCTGTGTGTTATATAACTGTAAGTTTCCTAAAGTACTTTTGAATATCTACACTGCCTCATATTTCAGTGTATTTAAAAAAAATATTTTGGTATTTTCACATTTCTTTAATTTTTTTCTCATTTTCAAAGTTTATTTAATTTTCTGTTACTGTAATTAGTAAACCTACAAAACATAATTATTACAAGTATAGTAGTTGTCACATTATTACGTTCTGAAACGTTTCCTGGCTCTCCTGTAAAATTAATAAAATGGCGCTTATCATGTTGGATCCACCACTTCAATTGGAACATCCTGTAGAATAAGCTACTAACCTGAACATCTCCCGTTCTCTTTCCGGCTCGCTGGCACTCTTCGACTTGCCATTGTCCTTTCCAGACCTGGATGGGCTGCCGTGGGGCGTGGTCACATTTGACCTTGAAGAGGCGGGCGTAGTCGATCGCACCAGAGAGGGTGTGAATGGTTCAGATGGTAGAGAGGTGTTGTTCAGGCTGTTGCTGGAGATGCTCAAAGAGCAGGAGCTCAGAGGAGCGGGCACGCTGAGGCTGGACGACCTGGATTGTCTTCCTGAGCTGTTCTGGATCAAACTTATACCTATAAAATTGCAAATTCATAATAATATATTAATTTTTATAGTAATTACGATATCAGTTATTATTTCAATATTAAACTATAGTAGATTATGATAAAAGATTTTTTTAAGGTTTTATAGGGAACAGCACTTTAAGTTTTTATGTTCGTTATTCGCTACATTCAGAGTTTTTTTCTACAATAATATAAATTGGCTAATTAAAATACATAAGTTGAGAGCATATAGTCCCTGGTGACGTTTAGAGTAAGTTATTATAGATGTCCCAAAACATTTTTTTAAACAACTCTGAAAGATCAAGATCCTAATCAAATTAGATTCACTTAACACCTTCAAATTAAATTTTTTAATGTCGAATTGACGTTTATGTTGCTAAAAATGATTTATAAATATAAATTATTTAACTTTAGAAAAATATGCATATTGTGTAAGTGGTATTATGGAAGAATAAGAATAATCTACAGGCTGTAAAAGATTTATTTTCAGTACATTGTCCTAAAAATGTAGTAATTGAAGGATCTTAAGCAACACTAACAAATATTAAAGGCTAAATACACAAATATGCATAATATTGATAGAGATCATCGAGAAAAACTGAATAAAAATTAATTCAATATTCTAGAAGAATAAAATATTTATGCTAGAAGAAATAGTCAAAAAAAATTGATTGGCGGAATAGTCGAAAAAAAACATACCACTGCTTGATGAAGAATTTTAAGAAGCATAGGTAAATTTTAACTCATTTAAGTATTCTAAACACTAAGAATTATTGGACGGGGGTGAACGGTATTTTTTTGTATTTCTTTATTTTCTCCATTTTATAAATCAGAAGTACTTAATTTTGTGAATTTTTTTTTGAAAGAATGTGTTCTATTTGTAACTTTTCATAAGGAATATGTTGGCAGATCTGTAGCAGCATAGTGTAGAAGAAAATCATAATAGATTTGTCATATTCTGACAAAATTTTTGATTGTAATGTTTCTTTGGCCAGGACCGGATAATTTAAAATTTTTCGGTTAATTTGGTATTTTCCCAAATAGCATTTTTAGACATAAAATCGTAACAAAATCACTGCTGAGAAACATTGCGAAACTGTTTCGTCATATTTTTGATACTTATGTTTCGTAACATAAATCCCTTTTTGTTTCGAAACATTTTACCAAAATATGGTTTCGCTACATAAGCTAAAATAATAAAGTATCACAAATTTTTCGAAACTTTTAAGAAACAGATATTTACAAAGATTTCCTACCCGTTTTGTGTCTGAAAAGTTTCCATAATTTATTCGATATTCTGTCAAATATGAGGACATAACCTTACTTTATTGTTTAGATTTTGTTCTGCAGTTTTTGCATTTAAGCATTCTTCAAGTTTTTATAGTACTGTTGCGGACCCGTGCCGTGTGAACTCAGCCTTAGACCTGGCCACTCGCCTATGACTCATAAGGCGACGTTACACGGTGCCAGTAACTTGTTCAAGTCACTAGAATCCAGTACTGGATTTTAGTACTTGTTGTGTATAGACAAGTATTCTAGTACTAAAATTTAGCGCCAGGTTTAGTTATGATTCCAGTCCAGCGAATAGAAAGCAGTCCTATTTACTGGAGCAAGTGGCTCTCCCACTGCCACTAAAATCGAAAAAAAACCTGTGTAAACACGCTTTTTAGTAGTCATTCAAGCATTTGGTTTTAGTGTTAGTACACGTTAAAAAGAATTTCGCTGTAGTGTGAGTTGGCGTGAATGTTTTTTAAAATGTGTTCAAAATGGTCAGAGGACACGACAGTGAAATTTGTTGAAATGTATAGGGATGAAGAATGTCTGTGGAATACACAGCTTGTTATTTATAAAAATAAACAAGCACGTGAAGCCGCTATTAGAAGAATAGTTAATGGAATGGCTATTGAAGATTTCGGTCCAGTAGAGGTAAAAAACAAAATTAAAAACTTGAGGTCGACCTATGTGCAAGAAGTCGCCAAAATTAAAAAATCAGAAAGTTCTGGAGCGGGAGCAGATGATGTATATATACCAAAAATGAAGTGGTTTCAAGTAATGTATGCGTTTTTGCAGAAAATAAATAAAAGAAGGGAAACAATTAGCAATTTGGTAAGTAACTGTAGTAGAATTAATTAACCAAAACAATTTATTCATAGTAATAAGTGTAGGTATACAAAATATAGAACATTCAAAAAATCATTCGTTCTTGCCACGAAACTGCTCCCGTAGTCATAAAATAATTTTTATATTTTTCCCTTAAATTTCTGGCAAACTGTGATGAATGGTTGCCTCCCACGCGTGAAACGGATGACAAGCCCTCTACTTCTGTTCTCCAACTACCAAGAACAATTCTTCCTCTGTCGAGATCTTCTTCATCAACGGATCCTTTTGGCAAATAACCATTAGAATTGCTTCTTAGCCAATTATGCAGAGCACAACACGTTCTAACTATTTTATCAACTGATGATAATCCACAAGATATCGGTTTTGAAATACTCAAAAATCTGGAGACTAAAATGCCGAAGCAATTTTCCACAATCAATTCTTGCACGAGACAGTCTATAATTAATATTTTTCTTGAACTGTAAATTGAATTTTTGAATATGGTTTGAGTAAATAATGTTTTAAAGGAAAAGCGTCATCCCCAACAAAATCCACCATCGGGTAATATATTATTTTCGGCGGCTGCAAACATAGAGCACTGCCCAAAACTCCTCCATCTGATGACCGCCCATTGCAACCAACGTCAATGTACGTAAAATTGTAATTACCGTCTGCAATTGCCATTAAAATGATACTGTTTTGTCCTTTATAGTTAAAATAGTCGCTGCCACAATTCACAGGAGCCTGGATATTTATGTGTTTCCCATCAATGGCACCGTAACATCCTGGAAAATTCCATCTATTCCTAAAATCACTTTCAATTGCCTTCCATTCTTTGTTGGTTTGGGGAACCTAAAATAAAACATAATATTTAGAATCGCAATACAATACACTTAACTTTGGGACATCCAGTACTAGAGTTTATTTTTTTAGGCTTCACCAGGAATTGAAATCGATAATGATTCCCAGACATCACAAGATGAAACAGAACAGACAACACATGAAGCATCTCTAGCAATAGAAGGAGAAAAGAACACAGTTAATATTTACAACGAGCCCACCCCAAAACGTAACAAGCTTGGAAAAACAAAAGTCAAAGAAGTTGCTGCTTGTGTTAAAGAGTTAAGTTCTTTAGCTACATCTATTCAAAATATGGAACCATCAGAAAATGAATTTGACATATTCGGGAAGAGTGTAGGAGCACAGTTGAAGCAGTTGCCGCTTGAACAGGCTATTACAGCTCAAGATGAAATACAGAAACTTTTGACTCGTTTTAGACTGGCAAATCTCAAAAGTACACGTACCCCATTACCATCTTCAACCGAGTCTTCAAGACACAGCATTAGGTCATATAACCATTCTCCGTCTCCAGGATTCGATACGCCTGCACAATCGTACCAAACATCTATGCAGTTGGAGAATGACAGCACTATCACAAATATCATTTCAGAAGCGTATGAAAGTACCTTTGGTGAAGACAATACCAATTGGGGATAATGTAGCCTTTTGAAAATGTTAAGAATAAAAGTTTATTTACCTGAATAAAATCCTTTAAAGCATCATAGATAGCGTCACACACCTCCGGAATAAACTTTGAAATTGCAGGTCGAGAAACTCGAAAATGCTGTTGCAGATTTCGGTAACTATTACCAGTGGCTAAATATGACAATGTTATTTCTAATTTTATTCTGGCAGGTATGGCCATTCTCATAATCGTGTCAGATCGCTGTATAGCTGGCGATATTTTTTTCCAGAAGTATGTCGAACAAAGAAGGAGACATTCTCATGCAATTTCTGTATTCTTGAATATCTTCAACGGCGAGTTCCCTTAAGAGCATGTTAGAGGCACCATGGGTGTTTCTCCTTGCCAACCATTTCCTAACCCATATCCTATTTCTTGGTTTTAACGTATCTTCTAAACTATCAATTAACTCCTCTATTACTACTTTCACACACGATATCATAGATTTCTTCATCAGAACAATGCATTTCTTCCTCGAATTCATAATAAAAAAATAAAACGAAAACTTTTTACCTAATCTAAAACGTAATATGTTTACTCGGCTAAAATGAACAAGTACTGAAACCATGTAAATGCTCAAGTCATCAAACACAATTGCTTTTAGTTCTGGATTTTAGTGACTTGAACAAGTTACTGGCACCGTGTAACGTCGCCTATACGCCCAGCGATACCGACGTTCTAAGAACGAATAAGAATTGACTAGACAAATCTGGATTGTCTGTTTCTCTCCTATATAAACAGACGCCGGGGCATAAGGAAGAGAGAGATAAATAACCGACCAACGCGTACAGTTACAATCGCCGCGCTAATTCAAAATAAATTTCTGTTAGATAAATAATTAGATAAATTGTAAATACGTTATAAATAGTTCTTTAAATCTTTTAATCGTTATTGTTTTTGTTAATTAGTGTTAAATAAATTGTGTTTAAATAAATTGTGACTTTCTATCCACACGGAACCGACGAAAAACGTAACAGTAGGTACTATAATTAAAAAAGCAGAAGGAAGGACATATGGTAAAGGATATATATTTTTCTTATGCGATTTTATAATTATTTATTATACGCATCACAGAGATGATTTGTTTTAGGAATAAATGTAATACCAACCACTACCCATACGATATAAAATGAGACCGAGTAGAGACCGAAGAAATCTGTTACCAGCAAAGTTTTTTTTTCTTTTTTCCACAATGGAATACCTACATGTTTTTTTTATGTTTTAATTATTTTATAATAAGTAAATGATAATGTTTTAATTATTTTGACCAGAAATTTTGATTGGCGTTGTTGACACGTGACCAGTTCGAAATTTCTACACAGATAGCGAAAATCGAAACATTTTGGAAACAAAGTTTCCATGTATTGTCGACTCATTTTCGAAACATAAGTTTCTCTTTTTTTAGACACAAATATGCCATAATCTAGATGATTTGTGTCCGACTCTATGTCAATTTTATAAAATAATGAATCAAAATTCCACCATGTTGGCTAGTGATAACGTTTTTAACTGAAAATATATGTTTTTATCGGCTGTTGAGCTTTTAAATTCATTAGACCGCGTTCTACTTACATTAATTTCTATATTTTTATTTTCAGAACCATGATATAGAAATAAAAATAAAAATCTCTATTTCAAACAAAAAATTGTTGTAGCAACAAATGATATACATATAGAAGGGGCATTAAAAATATGAAAATAACTAAAATAAATTAACGATGATTTTGCTTTTGTCAGACATTATTTGTGCGAGGAAACTTAAAAACAAAGATCTGAAGACGGAGGTCAACACTGTTGATGGTTGTTTTCATTTTGAAATGCACACCCTGAAATAGACTATTTTAGTTTGGTATTTTGTTTCTTCACATTTAGAAACATCTTGGACACAAATTGCATAAAATGTTTCGAAACATTTCCTCTAAAAATATTAATTCCGTATCGAAACATTTCAGGAAAAGGCTAGCGCCAGCACACTGGAAACACATGTACTAAAGCCATATAAAATATATAGGTTTCGAAAACGTTTCCTATTTGTTGCATACCGTTACAATTTTGTGTCAAGAAACAGACACGATTATTAGAAACATTACCTAAAATATGTCCAAAAATGCTACTTGGGTTGTATCGCTCACAACTCAAAAACGAATTCCTGTAAATTATTCACAATGAACGTATTGCTTTATTTTAAAGAGAGCTTTAAATAGTCACAAATAAGTTTTTTTAAATAGGAAACCTTTATCGCGCCATTTAAAAAATATATGTTCAGATCGGGAATGCAACACATGGCATATCCTAAGAGGACATAAAAATATAAATTTTTAATAGTTTTATCAAAAATTATGAATTTATCATAATTTTTAGACCGAACGTGGAAAAATAATATTTAATATCTAAATTGTAATACTGATGCAAAACTCTAAATATCCGCGCCTAAGTTAAATAATATGTTTTCGCATTACCTGGTGATTTGGGTTCAGGCGTTCTTGATATGGACACCCCCGAAATAAAAAGCGTTGGAGATTTCGGTATCCCAGTCTCACTCTCATATTCGTTGGAACTGTCCGTCTCTAAAGCAGTTTTCTGAGGACTATTCCCTATATTTATTCTCAATTGAGAACATAAATCTATATAAGAATGTACAAAAAAGTTTTAACAAAACATTTAAAACTGTAGTAATAACTAAAATATTACTTTTTCCAGATTTCTTCTGATTATCGACCAAAAATCCAGTGGACTTGGACACGTTACTCTCCGCTGCGCTCTGTCGTTTCTTTGGGCTGTGCTTTTCGCTTTTTGACTCTCCCACGTTTGTTTTTCTTCCAAATATCGAGCCAGAACCTTCTCCTCGTCTTTTTCCATGCTCACAATATTTGTTAGACTTGAAATCGTTGCCTATTAATCCTAAGAAAATTTAAATTAATAATATAGATTAAACGGTTAATAAAAACGGAACCCATTTGGCTTTGAGACGACACGACGATCCGTTAGCACTCCCTATAGGATGATTCACGGTACACCGGACCGTACCCGAGCCGGGCACGTTCCGTAAAGAATGATTCACGGTACACCGGACCGTACCCGAGCTGGGCACGTTCCGTAAAGTAGACACCGAGCCACGTCCGGGCCTTCAATATATGCAACACCGAGTGGACAACGGGCAACGGGGATCATGTCCGTGCCGATTATATTCTAGAAAACAGTGTTGCCGCAGTGGTACATTTGTACCAAATTTGATACTTTTAGTTCTATTTGATACAGTGGTACTACATTTTCAAATCCAGGATGATTCGGTACAATAATTATTTCCCACGCGCACCGAAAATGAATATATATTTAATAATTATCGTCGTTGATTTTGCATTAAACGCGCTTACCGATACCATTCGGAGACAATCCGCATTAATTAACGACGTATTATAATAACGTTGTAATGTCTATAGGGTTGCATATATTAAATAACCCGAAGAAAAAACTTAAAAATTTGCTGTTTCTAACATGCTTCTATATTTGCGTTTTTTTTTTAATAAAATTTAAGTTTTCCAAGTATCGTGTGTAGTATTAATTACTTACATTTCTTCAACCTATACATACTTATAATTGGGTTTTCTGAATTTCTACTTCATGTTTTTCGTCTCGATTTGTGTCTTTCTCCAGGAAGTTTTTTTATGTAGAAATTTATGAAGAAATTCACAACAACCAAACCGATTAAAGTCATTTGCAGATGTATTTTTTTGTGCTTTAAAAAATTGTACCAAAGTGGTACATTTTTAGTTTATAATGTGGTACGCGCTAAAAGTTGGGTGCGGCAACACTGCTAGAAAACAGTCGCTATAGGCCCGGAGACGAACGAAGTATTTAGCCGCGGCGGCTCATTTATGTTTGCCGCAACGGGGCCGGAACGTAGCGGATCCGAGAAAAAATGTACACCGACATTTCTTGGGCGGGGCACGGACGCGTTCCGGCGAAGCTCGGACCGTGCGCGGCTTAGCATGAATGTATAAGTATAAATGACATTTGACAATGTTTGGCCGTGCCTTCACTGCCGCACGGCTCCGGCCCGTCACGGTGTACCGTGAATCATCCTTAAGGGTCCGGCAATAGTGCATCGGGGATCTCTAGCTCTTAGAATTAAAGACTTCGGACTTTTGTATAAGTGCAAACCTAAAGTATGTACTAGGATCTATTTCAGGAAAATATTTTAACTTTTAGAGGGTGGCTCAAAAAAACGTGAGTGGATCGGGATGATTTTTTTTAAATGGAACACCCTGTATATTATTGTATTTTTGGCTTCCTTTCGGATCACTTTACGTAATCCTAAGATATGATTAAATATTTTTGGATAGTTTCAGAGATATTAATAAATAAATAAAAAATATATATTTTTCAGCCATTATTAAAAAAAGTATTAAAAAATACAAGAGTTGTTCTGAAATCAAAACTTTATTAGGTATTTACTTTAGATGGTCTGCTTAATATGGAAATGGTAAATCATACAGGATGTCCAAAATACTAAGCCAAACTTTCTAAAATATAAAATAATTTTTCTTCGTTTTTTTTTTTAAATGGAACACCCTGTCTATTATCTTTTCACTAGATGGAGAATTAAAAAATGAACATGTTTTTTTTTTCTATTTATAGTATTTCAAAAATTTTAACTGTTTCACAGATATTTGCGGTTTTATATTTCATATGGTATTTTCCACAGTAAATTTTTATCAAAGCAACCCGATAATTTTTCTCTGGTATTTTACCTCTTATTACTATTTATACTCTTATTACTTGTAATGCCTTACATTACAAGTTTTAGAAAAATTTTAGCTTTTAAAGAAAATTATAGTTATAATTATTTTTTTTACTTACTTGACTTTGGCTTTACTTACCTAAACTCTTGTTGGCTGCAATTCGGCTAAGGTAACTAGATTTTGGCAAATAATGGGCTGAACACAATTTCGCCTTGAGAGTGGCGAAAGGGTTATGAGTATGTTTCTTACACTCGACTTCTTTGGCTACTTGATCAGTCTTTTTAATTTCGTCATCGTAGACTTTACTACCTAAAAAAGTTTAATTAAATTAATTGACTACTGTGATAAATAACTAAATCTGCAAAAAAATGTTGTCTTTTTCAGGATAACACACACCTAAATCATCATCTGTCACTGAATTTAATATTCCAGAGACTTCAGTGTCTGCATTTATCGAATCGGAAGTGGTTGTATCTTCCATTGAGCTTTGTCCTTGACAAAACTCTTCCTCTGGGTGTGCATCTTGCATTAAAATAAATTGTCTATTTCTTAGTGATGTCGATGGAAGTGCTAAATACCTTTAAAGTAAACAATAAATTATTTATAAGATATAAAAAATACAGTAATTATACCTTCGAACCATATCTTCAGGCTTCTCGTCATGCTGACTGCTATGATCGGAATCCAAGTGATACCTTGGTTCATCGGTACCGTTCATACGCATCAGAGGACCTCTTCTTGTCTTGCGAGTGCACAGATCTCCTGTAGAATGACAACGTTTCAGGCCTGAAGTGTCATCGTAGTCGTCATCACAAAAAGGAAAGCCTGTAATTATCGGAATATAATATAAAAATTGACTATATTAAACAATAATATAAATGATCAACCCAGTGTTCCAGAAAAGCTCTAAAATATTAAACCGGAAACCTGATGTAGGTTTCCCGTGAATTAAAGTGCACTTTTAAAAAATATTTTTCTGGCCATTTTAAAAATAATACCTTTTTCATGAATATCTGAAATTTTAAATCTGCCATCTTCATTTCCTTTGCAAGATCGAAAACCAACATCTCTTTCTGGATCCAACCTATCCAAGCTCTTCAAATCGATTTTGTGGTGAGCCAAAGACTTTAAAAAGTTTTCTACAGTCAAATCTGCATTACTTTTTTGATATCCTGTAAAGAAATAATTATTTTGTTCTGTAACAGTTGTAAAAATACTTCTTTACAAAACTACATACCGTTTTGTCGTTCATTGGCTTCACGCTGTTCCATTTGTCTGCTCAGCTTGGCTGTGGACTCTTGCAAAGATAAATGAATAGCCAATTTTAATTGGTCATCTGTGCTCTCATTACTGTTAGTAGATATACTAGAACTGGGGTCTGGAGTGATTGGAACTGCACTCGAGTGTGAAGCCTGAGCTTGCTTGATTCGATCTTCAATCATCTGAAGGCGTGACATTTCCAGAGCAATAATAAGCTCTACATTATAGTCCGGTCCTACAAATTTTAAATATATTTAAAAATAGGGTTGACATATATAATCACAAGTTTTACTTGTTCCACAACCCTGACTACTACAAAGCAACCCACACTCATGTTCTCTAACTGGAGACCTAATCATCTTCTTCAGTGTTACACTTAAGTCAGTTTCTTCATCGGTATCATAGTCACCAGACCATTCACAGTCTTTTAACCATACTGATGTATCACTACCATCATTCTAAAATTAAAGATAGTCAACATAAATTAAAAATTAATTTTAAAACAGTTCATACAAATTTCCTTTTCCTTTTTCTTAATGTTGGTGGTGTTTCTGGAGGTATCAACCCTTGAGCTACAGCTCTGACAAACTCGTGTCTTTTTCTTCTCGTCAGAGCTGAGGTTTGAATAATCACAGCTTTAGGTGTACGGAGATATGGCCTGGCAATCATTTCACTTAATTTTTCAGTAGTCTCTTCAAGTTCGTTCTAAAAATATGTTTACATAATTCTTTATTTAAAGAATTACTTATAATTTACCTGCATAAATTCAAAAATATGTTTATTGTGTCCATCGTCTTCCAAATAGTATCCATAAGCATAAGAACCACAGAGTACTCTACGTGCTTTTAATAATTCTCTTACTCCATCCTCAATAAACTTTGTACTTTTCTCTATAGCCTCTATAAAAAAATATTTACACTCAAAAAATTATAGGGTGATATTCCACCACAAAAAAACTCTCTAAGTGTCATTTTAATAAACAAAAAGTAGCTAACTACTCTTTATATTCGAGGTTAGCCATTTTAGGTAATATATTGTACAGTAGATAATGACTAGATACCTTCTTTTGTAATCCCAAGACTGCTAGCCAAAACCTCCATTTTTCTTTTAACACTGAACAAAAGCGGTTCCTCCATTTTTTGACTGTTTTCATGATTCCTGAATCTCGTATAGTAATGAACAAATTTAGAGACCTGTTGCACCTCGCTGCTTTTCTCGATAGCTTCATGTAGTAAAGTTCCCTATAATTTACGAAATTATCAGTCTAGATTAAAGAAAATAAATCATCTATACCTGTTTTTCATCAGCTTTTCGAACGGCTTCAAATCTGTTACATCTAAAATATCCCCCGGTTGCTGAACTATGTTTTTTCCATGATTCTTGGCACACCCAGCAAAAATCAAATTTGCACTAAAAATATTAGAAATGCGCGTTTTTAATCAATAAAACTGCTGTTTGTGTATCAAATTCGTACCTTTGAGCATTTCATATGATTGCAGCCCTCGTTTTTCTGGATTGGGCTCTTGCAATTTGGACAAGGCTTTGAATTTGTTACTAACCATAAGCAATTGGCTGCATCTTCCGAACCGGCGCAGGCAGTGTTTAGCTCTTCTGGCTTGACCTCAGCTATTTTTCGTTGCCATTCTTGCCATTGTTCACAACCACAAGGCGCGTGAGCTTGCCCTATACACAAACCAAATAAATTTATTTAATTAAAGGTAAAACTATAATTACCAACATAGACTACAATTTTATGATTAAATATTATACTACATATTTCTTTAGAGGTATACCTGAGGAGAATCATATATCAATGTGTCATATCATATGTCAACTTTTGACATTTTCGCTTAAAAATTAATCGTTTTTTAAATTTCAGTCTAGAGTGCCGTATCTGTATTAAAAACACTAATTTTTAATCAAGGAGCCTTGGAAAAATAGGTTTGATCGTCTAATGTTTTTCGTATTTTGTCCTGGTCAGTTAAAAAATGCCCAAATCGTATTTTTAACCATATCTCAATATTTTCAAATGGAACTAATGAGTGGAACCAAAAATGGCTAATTAGCATATTTGGAAAAAACATTTTTTTTACGAATAATTTGATACCACACACTTGGTATTTCGAGTCAAATTGTCGTTATAAACAGCATGTTACAATTTCAAAACCATACGCAAAAATGTCAAAAGTTGACATAGGATTGACATTCTCTTCAGAGTGTCATTTTATATCGAATACAATGAAAATTACTTGAAAATCAAAAGTTGTAGTAATTTCCGGTAAAAGAGGAAGTGACCAAAAACAATTGAATACGTCAATCAATCCTAATTTATGTAATATACTACATAGCGTACCAAGTCTCGTTTTTTTATCTGAAAAATAAAAAAGCTATAGCGGTGAGCCACTTTTGGGACGCTCCCTGGTATAGATTCTTTTTAGATTTGTTTTCATTATAATTATGCCCGTAATAACATAATATATTTTGACTTATTTCTCTGAAAACGAATTTAAATTCTGTATAAATACTACCTAAGCATTCCCAGCAAAAGAAATGAGCGTTTCCACAATCAACTGCATGAGATGTAATTGGTATCTTAGTTCTCGAACTTTTTCCAGGAGTTTGCTCAGCTTCGGGCAGTCTGACAGCTCTACCACATCCAGGTATAGGACACCATTTTATTGTTTTATTACTTTCCACAAAAGCCTACAACATACTCTTTTTATTGAAGTATTTATAATATAAAAATATAGTTGATATTTACCTCTATATCAAACTGTAAGTATCTTCTTGACATCTCTGGACTCACCAACTTTTCAATAAACTCCACCGGAACCAGAATGTGACATTGATATGCTGGACATAATATATGATGCGCATCTCCATCTTGTATTTTCGTATTAAGGTAACTTTGCCAGCAAGATTCACAGAACACATGCTTGCAAGACATTTTCAACGGTTGACTGCAGTCTGCTGATATAGTTGTTAAACATATTTCGCACTAAAAATAAGTTTTTATGGAAAATAAATATATAAAAAATTGTATTAGACAGTATTTTAACTTACCATGGCTTCAGGTTTATCTGATCCTGTATCTGTCGATATGCTTGAATCTATTGAGCCAGCATGCGTTAATGCGGATGCTGGAGCTTGGACACCAGCAAGTTGACAGCATTTCACAGGATCCCTCATCCATTTTTCTAATAGAACTTCTCTGGACCATTCTAAAAAAATTAAGGTACAGTATTTTTACTGTATTTGAAAATATTGAAACTAAAAGAATTTCGGACTTCAATTGACCTTATACTGACACTTATCAAGTGTGAACTAATCTAACAAAATAGGTATAATTAAAACATTATGCCATCGAGCAATCACTATATGCACTGACTAAGAATCTCTGAATTCTGAACTAAGTAATATTAAAACCGGTTTGCTTCAGAATGGTTACTCAATGAAAATCTCTCGAGAATATTATATCCAATTGCAAGTCTCACTCATTGGTGTGCCAGCCTTAGGGAGATGCTCTGTCTCTCGCTGGAAGATTCCATATGTGAAAGAAACATCGGAGAAGATCAGGCGAGTAGCCAAGCAGTATAAAATTAAAACTGTTTTTAAGTCTAGGACTATTCTAAGAATGTCTTAACAAAAACAAAACCGGAATCAAGTGAATCGAAGAAGAGAGTGAAGTGAGTCGTATATTGGAAAGACAAAACGTCCTCTACATGTACGACCTGACGAACATAAAAAAACACAGGCAAAGAGGTGAAACAATGAAACCGGGCATTTCAGATCATGTGTGGTCCAAGCACCACAACATAAAACGGTCGGAAGCCCAGGTTGTCCACAAAGAACCCCATTATGTATCCCCAGGTATAGAAATTTCAACAATATGGCAACCACTCAAAAAACGCTCCAATGCCAATGGTATTCTCAGTGGACAAACCCGCCCTTGCGTGACTGCATCCAACTTCTTCACGGGTGAATGCTCGGCTCTAATTTATAATCTCAGTAGTTTTAACATTTAGATTTGTTCACACTAAGTGTTAATAAGTCTTGGTAACGGTCGATGATACTTCTAACCGAAACATTGAGTAAGCAAAATAAATAAAGTCAATGGAAGCCGAAATTCTTTTAGTTTCAATACTTAATCAGTGTCTACCATATTCAAAGTATCTATAAATATGCGACAGATTCGTTTCTTCAAATTTCTAAGAATATTGTAAATCACAATTAAAGGTAAACATACCGTTGTCCCTTAGCAAGGCCTCTGCAGTAAAAAGCGGTATTTTAAGCATGTCTGATGTATCCACTAAGAGTTGATCTTTAGCTTCTTGGAGATCTTGACTTCTAAGACCACTATAAACTTCCTCCTGTTCATTGATGACATCATCGTCTTCATTTACCATATCGGCGTTGTCGGCCTAAGATAAAAATAATATACTGTTTTTATTCTATTTTTCTAATATCAATAAAATCATTATAAAAAAGAAAAATAAACCAGTGATCTTCACAATAGCAATATTAACTTTTTTAATTTCTTTATTTTATTCAATAAATCAAAAATAAAAATATTTTTTTTATCCAGACCTAAATGAATTATTAGATCTATTTATAGATTTATTTATTATTTATTAATTAATTATTTAAGAATTGTTCTATATAATCCTAAATTCTTCTAAAAAAGTACCTAAATAAAGTAACCAAACCAAAAAAATTAAATTTTATTTGTCATACTCACAAAAACCATTTTGCTTTCCAACAATCTGGCAATTTCATCATGGCCCGATCTCATCGCCAAGTCGCATGGTGTAAATTTGTCATTATTCTCCAAGAAAATAGGAGATGCGTTATTGACCAACAATTCAACACATTTTCTCAAGCCTGATTGTGCAGCGCAGTGTAATGGCGTGTTTCCATACTGTAAACAAATATTTGAACATAAGGTCTATTTAAAAATAAATACATAATATACTCGTATATTTCTTTGGATCCAAAGCACCCAATTTTAAGACATTTAGGATACAATAATAATTATTGATTTTTAAAATATTTATACTTAAACTAGGGAGAGTCTGACGAAAAACGGGAGATAAGACGAATTATGTAATAATTTTTAGACGACTACGACTGTTCAAGTGGCATCTGTGTTTTGTGAGTTGTTATTGTAACAAAGAGTAGAATTAAAGGTAAAGTAAATACTTTCGTAATAAATTTGTCTAAATTACAGTCTAAACTGAAACACATAAGTTTTCTATTATTCTGTTATTTAAAATTGTTTACTTCTTTATTTCATCTGGCAGTTATATTATATAATGTGTATTTAAAGGGCTAGATTTATGCTGTGAATATATTTTTTTTAAATTAAATCTAAACGTAATTACTTACATAATATATTCATGCCGATGTTTTTAGTTCAGTATGACTTAGTGTGACAATAAGGGCTTTGGTGACATTAAAGTAAAGTAATGGTGACTAAACTAATATTTTCCTACCTTGACAGGGCGGATATGTTAACAAATAAATGAGTAATCAAAAGCACAGAGAGAGAATAGCATAAATTTAGTATATATATTGGCACCAAAAAAATTGACAATGAGTAGCCTTTCGAATCCTAGGGTAATCAGTACCTACGGATGGTAACCTACTAACTAACACACCTCTTCAGTTTTGAATGTTTTAAATGTGCTAAACTACAAATATTGATATGTAAGAGTATGTAAATGTTATTATTACTTTTTTATTAAAACTTAGACCAGCATGACCGTATCCTTTGGAATTGAGATCGATGATTTCAATTGATGATCTCAGTTTCCTTCTTACTTTATTTAAAATTCGAGAATATACCGTGCTCTTTCCCGTCGTGAATTTAAGGCTGAGTACTCCTCTCATTTATACAGGGTGAGTCTTAAATAAGTGCTAATGTTATCGAGGCTCGTAGATGTCGATAAAAGAAACATATTTTCTCTTTACCGTTTTTCAAATAAGGCCAAAATAACCCAGTTATTTTACTTTGGAAATTAAAAAATAGTACCTATATTGTTTTATAAGGAGTAAAAATGACACTTTTTGTGGCGAGGCTATACGTCTGACGGAGGAGCCTCAGCACGAGCGTTAGCGAGTCGACATACAGGAGAGGCAAAAAAGTCTTTTTTACTCCGAATAGAACATGCTATTTTTTTCAAACGCCACAAATATTTTTTTAAACGATTTCTAACGTTCCAAATACTATAAAAATATTTAAAAGTAATACCTTGTATGTAATTATACAGGTTGTTAATTTGTTTATTACTCGCTGCAAAAGCTTTATGATTGAAATATGGCAACCTCGGCCCGGTCGTCAATAGACGACGCGACGCGACGGCGACGAGACGAGTAGGCAGAAAACCTATAAGTGCATGCGTTCTCAATAAACAGTGTTGGCCATTCTGTTCCCCTATAAGTAACTGTCCATTTAACAATCTGTATATCGAGATACCATGGTTACCAATGACTAAAGAATCCAAGGACAAATAACACCCGAGAGTAAATTGTGACGATGTCACCAAACAGTGCTGTGGCACATATTTTTCTTAACCTAGCTGTTTGAAGCAATATTTATATTTTTTGATAATTGTTTTGACTACGCCTATGGTGTATCATCCTAATTAATTACGAAAAAAACGTATTAAAATGTTAACAGAAGGTACAAAACTAGTATCGACGTATATCACATATCAAGTACATATAGATGTTAATTGAAATTGAAGAATAATTATCGAATTCAATAAGAAAACGCTAAAAAGTTGGAGTGGACTGTTTATTTACCTATGAAATGTAACTCCTGGCTATCGCTGCTGCTTTTACACTTGAAAGCTGAACAACTAATCACCATTGTAATAAATTTTATACAAAATTTACTACACACAAACTATCGCTAAAATTGTCGCTGGTGACCAAATGATGACACATTGTTTGCTACCAAAACAAAAAAAAGGTCACAAATTCTGCTGCAGCCCGTATAGGGGCGTTACATGTCCTTATATTCTTTAGTCATTGATGGTTACGCTCGTTGAATATGACACTTTATGTCAGTTTAATAATATATTTTCATACTTTTATGCCTAGGCGTTAAAATTACTTTTTTTTTATTGTCAATCATGTTACAAATATTAATATTTGTGTGGCGTTTAAAAAAAATTGCTTAAACTTTGAGAACCACTTGATCTTTTCTGGAGGTTTTTGTTTTTCTAAATTTAATCTAAAACCTATATTGCCATATTCTCAAGATATTATGTATGTTTTTTAACTAAAAAATTAGAAAAATTCCTTTTTTCCAAAAACTAAAAATTTTCAGATTTTTTTTGCAAAAAGAACCTCATAGACATATTTCTAGGGTCGAAGTATATCACCCCTAAAATATTTGTACTAATTTAAAATTTATCCTGTATAATAAGTAGGACTATTTAAAAATTTAGAGTTTCATATAGTATGTACGTAACGTGTTCTTCTGAAATATCTCTAATTTGCTTTTGTCGGGCGCATCATTAAAAGAAAATCAATAAAATATATTTTTAACAGATCCGAAATTCCTTTATTTTATTTAAACTGTTTGTTATAAAGTTGGCTAAAGGTTTACCTCTGCAACTTTGTTAAACGACTCTATGTATGTTATACTACAAACAAATTATTACACGAAAATTATATATATTATATATTTTTTTACTTCTCAATTTAAACTAGTATAGCAAGTGTATATGAGCACGAGATGACTGAATAAAATAAAAAAACTGTGTCACAGTAACCATTGAAAACACAATCGAAGATAATAGAATCGATAAAAAGCATGGATATTTTTACTCTATATACTAAAAGAGCGTCTGACTAAAATTCTATTTATATCTTTGATTATACTATGTATATATTTATATTATATTTCAGGTCCAGTCCTCAATATTACATAATTATTCACAATGTAGTACATGCTTCTTCTACTCTCGAGCACAAGGTTTAAAGAAAATTTTAATGCCGGCCCTGTTCCGTCCCTGCTGTCAGTAGTCCTCTCCTTAACGCGCCATTATGTTTTTTGTGCTCCGAGCGCGAGGTTCCGCTTCGTCGTTTAAAGTGTTTACGAGCATTTTAAGCAGTGATAGCGGTTAGTTTAGCAACTTTCAGGGTTTGTCGCCTCAGACGTAAGTATATAATAACATTTTTCCGTTTTTTTTTTCGCTACATTAATCGACCTATGTCGATTTTAAGGTCTACTGTTTTACGGTAGGCCGATCTTAACCAATTTATTTTCAGACGGAGATGGAAGTGGATGGCCGTGCGGCGTTGCCGTATGTAACGGCACAATCGCCCGATAAGTAGCGCTATCGCTGGGGGGACGTCTGGAGCGTCTCCGCAAACAGCGATCATGATGAACTTGGAGTTCACCGTGATGTTTCTCTACAGAAGGATGTTACTGCTTTCGCTTGGAGCGATAAGTATAAAAATCATAGCGCATGCAGTGTTATTTCTATCGCTGGGGGGACGTCTGGAGCGTCTCCGCAAACAGCGATCATGATGAACTTGGAGTTCACCGTGATGTTTCTCTACAGAAGGATGTTACTGCTTTCGCTTGGAGCGATAAGTATAAAAATCATAGCGCATGCAGTGTTATTTCTATCGCTGGGGGGACGTCTGGAGCGTCTCCGCAAACAGCGATCATGATGAACTTGAAGTTCACCGTGATGTTTCTCTACAGAAGGATGTTACTGCTTTCGCTTGAAGCGATAAGTATAAAAATCATAGCGCATGCAGTGTTATTTCTATCGCTGGGGGGACGTCTGGAGCGTCTCCGCAAACAGCGATCATGATGAACTTGGAGTTCACCGTGATATTTCTCTACAGAAGGATGTTACTGCTTTCGCTTGGAGCGATAAGTATAAAAATGATAGCGCATGCAGTGCTATTTCTATCGCTAGGGGGACGTCTGGAGCGTCTCCGCAAACAGCGATCATGATGAACTTGGAGTTCACAATGATGTTTCTCTACCGAAAGATGTGACTGCTTTCGCTTGGAGCGATAAGTATAAAAATGATAGCACATGCAGTGCTATATCGCTGAGTGGGACGTCTGGAGCGTCTCCGCAAACAGCTATCAGGATCAACTTTGTAAGTATTCTAAATAAATATCTTTAGTGCCATACGTGCCTTAGGTAAGTACATTACCAATGTTCTTGATAATGTCGACAGAATACACAATGCCATTTATAATGAACTGCTTTTGGACTTGTTGAATTCTGGTAGGGTTCTGATAACCTGTTCCACCGACATTCGGTGACAAAAAAAAAAAAAAAAAAAAATGTAATTGTCTCACTGACAAATGCATTTCCTCGGAGTATCTTTTTGGAAAAGATCTGACGGAGAAAATAAAATCCACCATAAGAAATATTGAATCAGTTAGCAAAGAGCTAAAAATTCCAGCAAGCGGGGGCAAATTTTCTCCAAAAAATTTCCTCTCTTCCTCTAAACAAACAGGGGGGGGGGGCAAGCCTTCTCTGATCCGCCTCTAATCCGAACTCTTATAAGAGGGAATAAATACGATAAGTAAGACTATGTTTAGAAGTCGATTTAATATTTTTTTATGAGCAATGGTTTACCGTTACCAATAACCCGGTTGTACTGGGTTGGCTAAAAGGGTATTCTCTACTGTTTATTTCTATGCCTAAACAGTCGCAGCATAGTATTACACAAAAATTCAGTGCTGCTGAACAGCAACCGTTAAACGTAAAAATTTCTAATTTACCAAGAAAAATGCAAAATAATATATCTTACATCCATTGATCTCAGAGACGCGTACTATATAGTACCTGTTCGTGTAGAACATCGGAAGTTCCTGAGATTTTTTCATTCAATAATAGATCCTACGAATTTACTTTTTTGCCGTTCGATCTGGCAACAGCGCCTCATGCCTTCAGAAGGCTTTCGAGGCCGGTAGTGGAACGTATGTGGTCCAGGGACGTATCGTGCGTTAATTATCTTTCACTACGATTTTTTGATTCTGGGATTGTCGAAACAGGAATGTTTTAGAAACATTCAGATCACTATATAAATTTTGGAATCACTGTTTTTTTATTTGTTTCTCATGAATAAAGAGAAAAGTGTACTTTATCCATAAATAAGGTGTAAATTTCTGGGATTTATTTTTGACTCCGTTAAAATAAAGTTGAACTGCCACCAGTAAAACGGGGAAAATTTTTTAAATGAATTCAAAAAATTTAAACTTGCAAAATTGTCACGTTTGATAAATTTACCCTCGAAGTTTTTACCAACGCCGGTCTATCAGAGTGGAGAGCCTTTTGCCAAGGCCGTACCGCTCATAGACAATGAACAAGCTCTGATACTGACGATCGCATCTATCTATTGGAGCTCAAGGCTGTTTATTATGATACAGGTAACACTACCGCGTTATCATGTATTAATAGGATGGGCGGCGTAAAAATTTATTAAACTGAATGATTTGGCCAGAAAAATCTGACAATGGAGTGAAATCAGAAATTGGTGGGTTTTTGCGTCGTATATACCTTCTGGTAAAGCCGGTCCCACACGATGTGGCAAACACTTTCTAACGTTAGACACTCGGACATGGGCATCTCCCACATCGTGTGGGAGACGCACTTGCCAAATATGTGTATTGTATAACATTGTCAAAAAACTGTGCCGAATGTTGGTTCCAACGTGGGACGCATCGTATAAGACCGGCTTAATAATAATTGACAAACGGACCGAGCTTCCAGTATTTTACCTATAGAGACAGAATGGATCTGAGATGAATCTCTTAACCATAATATTTTTACAAATATTATACCTAACCTAACCTAACACTGTGGCGTGCCCGTAATTGACCTTTTGCGTCTACTCACAACAATA